CTAGAGATGAGAGTCCACTTTCCCTCTTATTGGGGGTTGCACTGTGTCCCCCGCAAAAAAGTTATGTTGAAGTCCTGATCCCCAGGACCGGTGCACATGACCTTATTTGGAATAGGGTCTCCACACTCAGTCAAGATGAGGCCATACTCAGCGTGGGCCCTAATCCAGTATGACTGCTGTCCCATTAGGAAGCAAAACGACAGAGATGGCCTTGTGAAGACACACACGGAGGGAAGGTGGCCATCTGCCAACGGAGGCAGAAGGCACAAGGCAAGGAGCACCGGAGGCTGCCGTAACCATCAGAAGCTGCCCAAGGCAGGACGGGTCCTCCCCTGGAGCCTGAGGGAGCGCGGCCCTACCCAGGCCTTCGTCTCAGACTCTGGGCCTCAGAACCGTGAGGGAATGAGGTTCTGCTGTCAGAGACCACCCAGTTTGTAGTACTCACAGCAGCCTTGGGAAACTAGCGCCCGTGTTCATAATTTTGCTGAGAAAATAACCAGAGAAGAGTCTTCATAATCATAGGTAGCACCTGTGTACTGTGGCTGTTGGAAAAGAAGACAAGCCCAGAGCATGTCGACTAAAGGTGGGCCTTTGACTCCGGGCTCCCTGGTCTTCGACTGGCACCCACAGCCACGGTTGTCTTAGGCCGTCACCCCCAAACCCCTGGGTGCCTGTCCACCACCCATCACCAGCCAGCCAACCCAACCCATCAGCTGTAAAGTGACGGCTGGTCACCAGCTGCAGCGGCAGACCTCACGCAGCCGGTCAGGTGGACTTCCCCAAACTCCTTGTCTTATACAGGGGCCAGCTTTTCACTGTGCCCTGTTGCCATGTTCAGAAGAGCTGCCACATGCCTACCTCCTTCCAGTTATTAAATGCCAAGCCCTTTGGGTTACAAATAAAATCAACTTAATTAAATGTGACATCTAAGGAAAAAATTAAAAGAGCATCCATTTCAGCCCAGGCAGAGCCGAGAGGATCAGCATCCAGCAGTGTGTTACGAAAGAGGTGTCTCCACACAATCTGTGCGGAAGGTAACTCTTTAGAAGGGCGACACTTCCTTTTGTTCTGTGCCTGCGTCAGAGCAGTTTTCAGAACCAGGGCAGCGTCCGGCTCCTCGGCCAGCTGTGTAGCTGACAGTCTGACTAGACGGCCTGGCTTTGGGGCCTGGCTTTGGCGTGCCGTCCCATGGGCTTGCTAACCACCGCCCCACCCCCCACCCCCATGTGGAGCCCGTGGGCTTCCTGGCCAGCCAGCCCTCTGCTCTCAGAGCCCCCACCCTCACAGGGACAACAGCACTGCTCACTGTAGGTGAGCACATTCCAGCATCACAGAAATGACAACTCTAACAACTTCAAAGCAACACCGAGGCATGGCAAGCAGGGGATGGGACTACGATGGGGAGAAAAGAGATGCCACCCACACTTCAGAGGGTAAGAGGGGAATCGGTAAACTCACAGGCACATGTACGGAACCTCCACTGGGAAGGAGGGACGTGAGGACTGAGCTGGGATACGAAGGAATCGAAGGAATCGGAGTCAGCCAGGCGTAGGGGACTTCCAGACCGCCCCAAGGGCCCAGAGGAGTAAGGCGGGCTCGGGACACACAAGTGAGCACAGTTGGGTGGCAGCGTGAACTAGGAAGTGAGGGAACAGGAGTGGCTGGGCATACAAATCTGTGCCACTTGTAGGCACCAGCAAGGCCACCTGATGAGCTCGAGAATGTCAGCATGTCTTCTCGGGCAGCTGATGGGGGCAGGAGCCGCAAAGTGTACACAACTCTCCCGAGGGGTCTACGTGGTGGCCTGGGGGAAGACGGGACACTAAGGCAGTGTCGTAAACGTGTGTTGAAAAGCCACTGGATGCAACTCGTTGTGCTCACAGAAAGCAAACTGAGGCTTCCCTGGCACCTGAGGAACCAGAGCCGAGGGCCACAGGCTCCTGCCCCGCAGGCCTGCAGTCACGACAGTACTGTGTCAATCAGTTCTGAACAGACCAGGAGTCCGGTGCCTGGAACCTTGCCTCTTGCAGAGCAATGACTGTTAATTATTACGTAGTTATATATGCTTGATGTTTTCCACAGTCGAAACTGAGGGCTGGTTTTATTTACTTTATAAAGATCATTACTGTAACGTGATTTCTCAAAAGAAACTTTGCAGGCCAGAAGGGAGTGGCAAGAAACATTCAGAGTGATGAAAAGCAAGAACCTACGACCAAGATTACTCTATCCTGCAAAGCTGTCATTTAGAATCGATGGCCATATAAAGAGTTTACCAGACAAGAAAAAGTTAAGAGTTCATCACCACCAAACCATTATTATATGAAATGATGGTCTTTTGGAAGAGAAAGGTAAAATATATGAACAAACAAAATGGCAATGAATACATATTTATCGACAAATGAATCTACAAACAAAATAAATAGGCAGAACAGAAACATTCTCATAGAGAACATTTTGTTGGTTGCCAGATGGGAGGGGGGTTGGGGGAATGGGTGAAAAAAGTGAAGGGATTAAGAAGAACAAATTGGTTGCTAGACTGACGAACCTCAAAGGGAAGAAATAAACCAAAGAACCTACATGCATATATGCATAACCAATGGACACAGACAACAGTGTGGGAAAAGGTGGGAGGGGGGCAGGAGAGGGGAGGAGGGGGTCAATGGGGGGGAAATGAGGAACATCTGTAATACAATCAACAATAAAGATTTTTTTTAAAAAAAGATCATACTATAACATAAAAATCTGGAGACTGGGGACAAAGGCATCAGAGAGACAGATAGGTCTATGCTACCATGACCTTCTCTCCCAGTGGCATGTTCATTACAGAGTAGGAAATGAAGCAGAGGGTTCGGACACCATTTATTACCTTGATTTGTTTTTTTAAAAAACTGTAAGTGTAAAATTGTCAATGATTCTACTCCTAAAACATCTTCTAGAAATTTGGCAAATTTTGTCAAATCTAAAAAATGCACAAACTGGTTCTAGGAGTTAATCACATAGCTATACTCACACAGTTGCAGTTGTATATATTAGCATACTCAGTGGTGCATTTCTGCAATAGGAATAGCCCCTCCCAAATATCTACTAAGTGACCAAAATAAACTGTGACCCATTGAATCAACAAAGTACACAGCTGTCAAAACAATGGGTCAACCTACATGTGACTATGCAGGAAAAGACAGGTAAGATATATTAAAAAGAAAAGGCCATCCTAGCAAAAGGTCATAAAAATTGTGCATTCTCCGAATTTCAAGTTTTGTTTTTTACATGTGGGTCTTGACTATACCTGGAATTTTTGTTTCTTGATGTAGTAAAGGGATCTATTATTTTTCCCACTTAAAAAAAAAAAAAAAAAAAAAAAAAGAAGTGGCCATATTTGTGGAGAAGAAAAGTCTATACACACCCAAATACATGTAATTTGCATCTGCCCCCAAAAACAAAGAACGCATGACATGTCACATTGGTTACTTTTGTGAAAGGAGAGGATCTTGAGAGAAAAAGGCCCTTTTCACTTTATGTCCTTGTGTAGTTTGTATCTTTCCTACAAGCAGGTAGCCGTCCCTTGTTTATCACAGTTAATCCGTTCCAGACCCTAACGGTTGCAACCTGGTGTTGAAGAATTTGCGGGGGTGCTCAAATACACAGGCCTACAGTCCATACGTACTTTCAATTTTAATTGTAATACAGGGGTGCATAATTGACTCAGACAACCGAGCACACGCTGTATCATTTTCACTGTCTAGATCAATTTTAATGAATACATTTGAAAAAACCGCGATAAAGTGAAGCCACAAAAGTCGAAGTGCAAAGTGGCGAGGAACGACTGTTATTTTATAATTAAAGACTAGCAAGAAATATAAATGCCAAACTGCCCCCCATAAGATGAACTACTCAAATTGGAGATGTCCGATGTACAATGCATTCTACTCACAATGCAATTCAACACAAGTGATTTTTTAAATGCCTCCTCGTTTTAGCTGGAAATGGAAAATCCCCTAATCTTTAGATACCAGCTGCACTGAGTTCTCAGTGGTCAAGCACCCCCCACCCTACAGTCACTCCACCCTGAGCAGCTGGGAGCCGAGCCAGGTACATGGACATATTTACTGGGCAGAGGTTACTTCACCTTGTCCTCAGAAACCCCCTCCCGAAGACACCCCATCACCCGACGTCCAGCAGGGACACCAGGCTTCCAGCTTCAGGCTCCCTTATCCCCGCAGGAGCTCTCGACTGGGACACACCATCAAGCATAGCCGCGGGGTGGCCTGGATGTCTGTCCTCACGTCTGCAGGCCTGCCTCTGGCAGGTTGGAGGAGTATCAGAGACCTAAAAAATGTGAGCACCACACAGATGCAAGTTACGCCAGCATCACAACAGACTGGTTTTTCTGAGATACACATCCCATCATCTGCCTCCCGAGAACGTGGAAGACGACAGCAGGGGTTCCTAAGGTATCTGAAGAAAACCAGTGCTGAGATGATTGCTACTGGCTCCACTCCCTAGGAGGAAGGGCAGAAATTCTGAGGGGAAGAGAACTTTCTACACACGCCCAGCTTGGCAGTTGAACCCATGTCCAGCCCTCCTAACTGGACGAGGAAGCCCTGCCTGGAGGGCATGTTGGAAAGGGCAGGGCCTGTCCAGACAAGCACATCTCTGGTCAGGGTATTCCTGTAAGGGCCTCACAGAGATCTTGAAAAACGTTTTCACTTCTTCAACCCCACAACATGGTTTACTGAGCACTTTCCTGGATGAAAGTCATTATTCTACTCTGGCAGACAAAGTGGAGGCCACACCTAACAGTGTCAACTCCATTTCCCAATCTTGTATCTTCAAATATTCCCAAACCTTTGAATTTAAAGGCAAACATAATATTTTCCAGTGTCAAAAATTCACCCCAGAATTAAAAATATATAAAACAGTCAAAATAAAGTGTAACCTTAACATACAAACACACATCATGGAAAATAAAGAGAGACTGGTAACATAAGAAAAATCATCAGTTTAATATTTACAACAACGTAGCATGAGTAGTCAGCGCCAGGACGGTCTGTGGCATGTGCATGAAATGTCCCCACTGCTGTAAACAGGGACTGTGTCCTGAAGAAATGAAGTGAGGGACAGGAAGTCCACACAAAGCCGGGAAGCCTTCGACGCCTGGACGCCCTGGCGCACGTGGACAGGCACACACCGCAAAGCACGATGGACAGGGCTCTGATGCCACATCTCAGTACTGTGTGGGAATAAAAGTGCTTCACATCTCAGGATAGGAATGGCTTCATCTCCTCGTCCATGAAAGGTGAGAGCAGAGAAGTAACCCTTGGGGTAAACAGCGCCCCTTTCTCCCATTCCCATCAACTCCCAAACCCTCTGAAGGTCATGGAGAAACATCAGTCTGTGTACAAAATAGGGTTCTCGGATGCACTTTCTCTGCTCCCTCAAAATCTTAGTAAAATATTGGATCCTCAGGAAGAAAGGTAATGCATTACACAGGTATCTCAACTGTCACCCCATCAGGGGACGGGACAGTGAAAACACGTGTTCTCACTTGTCCCTCTAATCCACAGTTAAGGCAGGTTCTGTAAGAGACCCGTCCAGGATGCTGATGGCAACTTCACTCATCAAAGTGGTGGAGAGATCAGGTGATGAATGTTGTTCCTGAGTTAAAATTTGCTTAAGACAGCAAACTTCAGTACACTCAAATGTAATTGCTTTTCACTGTAATGTCTTATGCATCACCAAAAAAGTACTACTGTAAAAATAGGGCTTCCAAAAAAAGAAAAGAAAAGACAATCTTTTCTAATCCTAGCACTAATGAACAAAATGCTAAGTACAGAAAGTTGGCAATTCTAGTTGAAAGGTCAAGTGTGGACAGGTCAATGCGGGGCCCCAGACACACCTGCTGAGCTCGCAGCAAGGAGGGGGCCAACTCAGGTGACCACCCTCCAGGAGGAGATAAGCAGGCACAGGGGCTGATTAGCAAGGGCAAAGAACAAGAACCATGGACAACCAGAAAACCAACTAGTTCCAAAGTTGCCCACCCAGTTCATAGGCATCAAAGATTCCGATGCAATTACAGGGTCACTTGACCAATAAATAGTTGAAAAATCACAAAAAGTCACATCTGATGCCTACTGGGTATTTCTGAGAAGTCTCAATGCACAGTGCTGTGATTCTGCTTTTAAAAAACAAGTTAGAGAAGTGACCTTCTATGAAGTAGTCCTCTCACTTTAAAACCACCTCTTTAGAAGAGGAAAATGGAAAGCACAGTCCCAACACTGTGCTCCTATCTCCAAGGCAGAACAACAAGCTGGGCTTGCAGGCTGGGCTTCCTGCCCAGGGGCTGCCGAGGCTTCCAGGGCCCCTGGCCCAGAGGCCAGCAGACAGGGTTAGGACCAGCTTCCTCCTCCGTCTGCTCTGCAGTTTGGAGACAGGGAGAGAATGGACCCACATCTAAACTTCATTACTTAGGTGGAATTTAGGATGGATATTGCTTTATTCCTCTCTTTCCCAGCGAGCACTGTAGTAATACTTGCTGCACCGTGACTTAAAACAGAGCCCAGGCTTTACACTGGCCTGACAAAGAAATCCTACCCATCCACATCCGCTCACAGCACCACCTTGGTTCGTCTTCACTGCTGCAGTGACATTAACAACACATTTTATTTACAAGTTCTAGTGAAGCTTTCTCTTTTGAGGGAGAACAGTGCACTTTGTCAAGTTATTAAACTAGCCTATACATAAAAGTCTGTATGGTCTCTCCAAGTGCAGTGAATACACCCTGACGATCACAGTATTCACGTGAAGCAGACAAGAGGGTGCACCTGTAGCTGGACGCCGTGGCACGTGTGGGATTTCCTCGGATTCGTGGCTGAGGCCCAGGCCCTCAGTTAGCCAGAGTGCGGCACTCAGAGCCACCCACGCCAGTGACTGCAATACTGCTTTAACAGAAGACTTTCAAATGGCATTCAGGTATCTTTGCAGCTATAAATAAGGTAAAATTAGTTAGGCAATCAAGTGGGAAGTACTTTTAGAGCACTGTGGAGACTACAGTGGTGAACAGGCATCTACCAAAAGCCATTCGGGTGCCCTCTGCGTCCCTGCTTTCCATGTAAGCATTAACACAACTTCTAGTTCACAAACAGAAAGTTAGTGGGAAGGAAGTTCTAGCACGGGTATCAGCCCAGATATAACAATCATGAGTATGCATTCAAAATGGGGTATTTACAAGACCTATGTATCTATAATATTTATATAGATTTAATAAAAGCCTGAAAGACCAGGATTTGTATTCAGTCACTGCTCTTATTGCAAAATGAGGTAATTGAGATGTTACCAGAGTAAGAGTAATGTAGTCTGCCCTCAGTGTCTACACCTCATGTTGGATTCTTCAGGAACTATGTGACTGTTTCTATTCGCGTGAACTCCAGCTTTTGTATGTACAGGAGCAAGACGACCTCCATCAGCCCTGCCCTGTGGTCCTGAATGTCACACCGGCTGGGGCACGGGGCTCCCAGCTTGGTCTCGTAACTGGTCTTCAAGAAATAACCAAACACATTCCTCAGAGGTTGGTCTCGTCCCAAGCAGGGTCGTTCATGTTCTTTAGAACTTTCCTCACCAGCTTTTCCAGGTCTTTGCGGGCTCTCTGTTCTTCCTCCAAAGATTTCTTCATCTTCTTGTTATCCTATAAATGAAGCAGACAGGATATTCACTGTGTTTTGTACTGAAGGGGACTTCCTTTTTTTTAATCCTCACCCGAGGATATTTTTTCAAATATCTTGAGATTGGGGGGGAGGGCCATCAATGTGAGAGAGAGACATCAACTGGTTGCCTCCCGCATGACCCCAACCAGGGCCAGGGATGAACCGAAACCGAGGTACATGCCCTCGGCCACAGTCGAATCCGTGATTCCTTGGTCTGTAGGCCAATGCGCTATCTGCTGAGCCAAACTGGCCAGGGCTGAAGAGGATTTTCTTTTCCTCAGGAGACTTGGGGGCCTCGCCAACTGAAATCCTGGGCTGGAATCTGCCCTGCACATGGTCATGGTATATTCAATAGGACACCTGGGGCCCCTTACCACACAGCTGCTCCTGGGAGTCAAGACAAATCACGGATGGAAAAACAGTCCTAACGACTCTTACAATTTACGTTCCAGTTACTGGAGGAGAGGATCTCTGTATGCCATACCGTAAGAAAATGGCTGGAATAAGCAGAAGGCACAACTTGCATCCTACCTGCTCCTCTCACATTGTAAAGATCCCAGTTATGTAAGAATGAAAGCAACAGCAACTGAGTGAATACACAAGCAAAGGAATAAGCACCTACTTCCATACAGTCTGCATCCCATCATCCCTCCGCACGGAGGACACACACACAGAGGTCTCCACTGCCAAGGGTGCGGCATGAACCCGAAGCCCCGCAAGGAAGACCGTGCAGGAAGGCGCCTCAGACCCTGCTGAGGACGGCGGAGAGAGGCCGCTCTGAGCGCGTCCCACCTCGGCCCGCGCGGTGCTCCCACTTCTCCTCGGCCTTCCCCCAGCCCGTGAGGCAGCACTGACGGCTCCCTCCTCAGAGACGAGGCCATTTGTACAAACAATACACACAGACAAAATACACTTCATCTCAGTGACTTGGTTTCTCAAGAACAAAGACCATGTGTTACACTACAGAGAATAGTCACAGTAGGTAGTTAATACAACTTTTAACTAGATGGGATTTTAGATATTTTAAATGATGATTCTATCAGAATCGCAGATGGTTTCTGATGTTAAAACAGTACAGTAAAAAGACAGCTTAAACATGTTACTTTAAAGATTAATTTCCTGATCTATCACATATACAGAACAGTGATGATTTGGTCTGCTGGGATCATGAAAGGCAGCATCTCCTTTCTGCATTTTTCAATCCTCACCTGAAGACATGCTGAGAGAGAAGAATGGAGAAAAATGAGAAACATCAAAGTGAGAGAGAAACATCGATCAGTTGCCTTGCGTACAAGCCCTGACCAGGGATCAAACGCGCAACCCGGTTATGTGCTCTGACAGGGAATCAAACTGGCAACCTTTCGGTGCACGGGACGATGCTCAACCAACTGAGCCACTGCAGCCAGGATCCTTTCTGTATTGTTTTCCTTAAGGATATCCGGCTTCATTTTCAAAATAGTGTTTTCCTCCAAAAAACAAAAAACTGATTATGACTCACCTGTCTTAACTCTTGGACTTCATCCTTCAATGCATAGACAGTATCAACAAGACTCCTAAAACAGAAAACGGAATGAACACCCGACCAAGGATGAGGCATGAAAAGGACACAAAGTAGCACTTCACCGGGAGACACGACAAAGTCGAGAGGGCTGCTCTGCCCTACTCACTAAGATCTACACTCATCTACTTCAGGTCAAGCAACTTCTATGGGAAGTTAGTGCCCAGTCAATGTTAACTCGTTCGTCTATAAGGAAGGACACAAAGTAGTTTCTGAAGGCAGCTCCCAGCACTCTTGGAATTTTTTGACTCCAGTGCTCCACTCCTCCTTCCCCCACACCCTCTCACCCCCCACGTCCCTACACACACACACCCGCACCCCCACACACAACCCCTCCACATCCACAACCCCCAAGTCCCTACACATAACACCCACGCGCCTCCATACACCCCACACGCAACCCCCCTCATCCACACACAACCCCCCTCATCCACACCCCTCCACATAACCTCCCACATCCCCACATCCCCCCATGCCCCTCCATACACACCCTCATTTCCATACACACCCACATGCCTGCTTTAAAATACTGGAATACATCTTACTTTTCTTCTATCACTGTCTGACCATTGCTTTTCGTTTCTTCAACTATAATCTTTTCTTCTTCTGGAAGCAAAACTTGTGGAGCAGATTCTTTACGTGAACCTATCGTTATTTAAAAACAAACAAACAAACAAACAAACAAAAACACCTACAGGTGAATACCACAGCAAAACTAAAAAGAATTTCACTATACAACAGTATTTAAATATTAATATTACACTCCAAGGACTGTGCATTAAATCACTTCTAGATAAAACAGGGAAGGGCAAGTGTTGCCAGTGTTCTCCATCTCCACCTAGGGACCCCAGTCCTCTTCGCGGCTACAGCGTTAGTGAGGGAAACAGCCTTTTCCTGATCTGCTCTGCTGCAGTTTCTCAATCTGAATTATGGACCTATTAAGCCTGAATTTTTCCACATGTAGTAAAGTTAAAGGTTCTGCCCACAGTGCCCTAGGTATTCTGAAATAAATATCCACATTTTTTTGGAATATCCAAATCAATGAAACCTTGAGCTATATTATTTCAAGAACCTTAGAAAGATGTGTCAGACTATATACTACATACATGCTGAATGTTTATGACTTTTAAAAAACTGGCAGTTAAAACATTTAACTCTACAGTGTCAGTTAAAAATAAAGATATTATGGCACATGGTTTAGAAAAAATAAAATTTATTACTTGATTCTTTTATGAAAACTTCATTCTACATCCCCTGGAGTATGAACATTTTTTCCAAATGGAAGTAAACTGTTCATGATGGAGTTTATGCCATTTAACCACTCCCAGCACAACAGCTTGCCTAAGACAGTGTGTCTCAGTAAATGTTTGCCACAAAATAGGTACTTTAGCAATTACTAAGAAACCCAAATATTTACTTTAAAATGTGAGAAAGGAGAATCAAATCTTATTTAAGGATATGGGGAAGATAATACTCTTTTCTTAAAGAAAATAATATTAAAGGTTATATAACAGTATAACATATGTATATTTTTCAAAAATGACATCAGATGCAAATTTGAGTCTACCAGAGAGCACAAACACTTGCAAGTGGTATTGTGATACAGTAAACATTTCTCCATTAAAAATACACTTGATGTTAATATAGGCTAATTATGGAGATGGTGGCTCAACCTGCTTGGTCTTGTTTTTCCTGGTTTATCTTTAACTTGCCTTCCTAAAACTTCATCAAATTATTAGAGGGTACTTATTGCACATCCTTGTATCATGGGAACATTCAGAATAAGACCAATGTTTTAACAGTTTGATTTTAAAGAACAGTTTCACCAATATTGTATTATAACTTTTTACTCCTCTGAATGAAACAAGATTAACAATTACTATCATAGCTTGATTAGAAGGGGGCTCATACAACATTACTGACTTCCGCAGACTACTTCTATCATTCCGACGGCAGCACGCCACAGGGCAAAGGAGGGGCCTTGGCCAAGTCTCTCCCTGATGCCTTCTGGACATCTGCAAAACTTTCTCCATCCCAATCTCACAGACTGGCAAAAGTATCAAAAACAAGCATGCTGGGAAACCATAAAGTCCAGAACAGAACAAAATTAAGATGCTGCCCTCCTCCTTTGTTATTTCAGGTATAAGAAAATTAAGCTCTGGGTAAGCAAGTACAATTCTGTTACACAGCACAAGCTTCTATACACACACACACACTTTTTTTTTTTTTTTTTTTTTACACCAAAGGAAGGGCCTTTGTGAGTACTGAGAATAACTTTAGTATTATAATCAAATGCAGTAGAAGTTTTAATGAGCTGGTATACAGATGTATGCTTGTACATAAGTTTGTCAAACACTATTTCAAAGGTGACCCTCTGCGAGTATTTTTGTGTTTATACCACACTGCTAATCCTGGACCAGCAGATTCTGTCCCCATCAGGCCAAGGGACGCATTCTTTTGCTCATACCCCTCCTTAAGGACACACTCTAACCTTTCACACAGTGATCTATCTGCACATTCAGGAAATTACTTTTTAGACAGAAGGTAACAACCTTCAAGACATGGTCCCAGGAAGGGACTCCTTTAAAGACATCATCATGTTCACAACAACCCACCTCCCCAGGACACTGCCTGCTGCAGGTGCCACGACACCGCAAGAGGCTGTGGCATGTCTCCTTCTAGGCTTTTCTGGGTTCATGGGCAATGCTGTTGGGACATCTGGACTACTTGGGAAAATGCTGCTTAAGAAGGAAACTAGTGCCCTAGCCAGTTTGGCTCAGCGGTTGGAGCGTCGGCTTGCAGTCCGGAGAGATCCGGTTCGGTTCCCGCTGGGGACACATGCCTCGGTTGCAGTTTGTCCCCGGCCCTGGTTGGGTTGTGTGGGTGGCGACCACTCGATGTATTCCTTTCACATCAATGTTTCTCTCTCCCTCTCCCTCCCTCTCTCCCACTCTATCTGAACAAAATATCGAAGGGTGTCCTCGGGTGAGGATTAAAAAAAAAAAAGGAAACTGGTATGTGAAACAAACCACTGAGAAAGCACAGGGATACAAGCCAGCTTAAAACTTCTAAAGGCTGAGGAAAATCCTGTGTTCTGATACAAATGTAAATGTTACCCACATTTTTATAAGGAAGTAAATTCATGTGCTATTTTCCTAGAAAAAGAGAAAAGGATTCATGAAGATTCAGATATGTAGGAAACAAATTTAATTTTCGCTATGGGGAGAAGCAAACTGATGACATCAGACACGTTAGATGGCCCATAACATTTCCAACTGGTATCTGCTTTGGGTCCAAACAGTCATTGAATGTGTTAGTCAAATCAAAAAAGTTATCAGTTGTTTATCTGTCACATTCAGTTTGTAATACATTTCTTCAAATGGATTAATAAGACAAGAGGTGGGAATGTTTTTATATAACAGCACTTGAGGAAATATTAAATTCTATGCATTTCAATTATTTTTGCACCTTCTAGCTTCCCAGGCAACTTAGTTACACAATGTTTCCAGCATTAAAATGTTCACATAACATAAAATAAATCACAACAGATGTCTACTTTGTAAAGAGGGTCAGACAGCAGTTGGCTTTCGTGCAAAGGGGCCAGGACTACCTGAATCGCATTCATACCCCATCTGTAGAGTTCTCAATAAACTCAGGCCCTTCACTTAATCACTGAGCTGCAATTCCATTATTGGTAAATAGAAGAACAAAACTAACCACTTCTGCAGAGCTGTTCTGAGGACTGATTAAGAATTACATTTTATATATCTTTTACCAAATGAATTCATAAAAGCCTTAAATTCCATTATGTCACATAACTAGATCAGAGAAACTAAAATCTGTAAGAACTGGTACAAACAATTGCATATGCATGACATAGTTCTAATTTTTATATACACTTAAAAGCACACAGAAGAATTCAACTATATATTATAAAAGTGTTAACTTTAGGCCCTGGCCACTGTGGCTCAGTTGGTTGGGTGTCGTCCTGCGCACTGACAGAGGCTGCCGGTTTGATTCCCGGCCGGAGCACATGCCCGTGCTGCAGACGCCGTCTCCGGTGGCAGCCTTCAGGAGGCAGCGGACTGATGTTCCGCTCTCACATCGATGTCTCTCTCTCCCCCCTTTCCCTTCCTCTCTCTAAAAGTCAATAAAAATATTTTAAAAGAAAAACAATATTAAGTTTGAGACTACAATAGACAGATGTAGTAAACTGCTTGATTCCTGAAACATTCCAATGAAAAAAATGTCACTTATGGGTTTGATGGTAAGCCAGGAGGCTTGTTGATGAAGATTATTTATTTCCTGCATAGAAATTCTTAGAAGGCTAATAATCTGCCTAGTTTTAATATAACATATTTTTCTAAAATGACTAAAAAAATGTTAGTCTTTCAACAAAACAATAAAGAGATATTTTCTAGCCAGGTTTATAATTTGACTATTTCTTTAAGAACAAAGTTTTAGAAAGTAAACAGATTTAATAAGTTACCTCCCAGAGAAAATCACTCAAGTATTTTCAGAGGTATCTGCAACACATCATTTTAGAAAATGCTGAATGCTACAGCCACGTCTTAGAGATTCACAGGGCACAGGTAGCATTTTTAAGGTTTTCAGAAGAGATGCAGTAAAAATACTTGAAGTTTAATTCAGCATTTCCTAAATTCATCTGAGTGCTGACCACTTCTTCTTCAGCATCATTCTTAACATTCTGCAGTTTTCCGGGTAACAATCTGAAGAGTGCTCCACTCACCTAAAATCCTGTCTATAAATACATACTCAACAAATGCTGGTTGGTTTTGTTGTTCTATATGGGGGTGAATATAAAGAAACAGTAATTTATACTTAGACCAATCCAGCAATTCCCAAACTTGAGGATTCCAAGATCAGGTCTGCATATATTTGGCATCCAGCTGCCAATGGCGGCTGACAAATAGGCAATGACAGTTCCACATGGCCACCAGCAGGGGTCACTCTGCACCACAGCTGGAGAGAGCAGGCACTGGGGCCCCTGGGAGAACTCAGAGGTGTGATCCACAAGATGAAGGCATACTTAGAACCCTGCCCCCTAAAATTGTCACAGATCCCCAGAGCTTAGAATCCTGACCCCTATAACATCCAGACCCCCACCCCCAAACCGAGAGCTATAGACGTTAGTTTGAGAAACACAGATGGATCAAACACTTCCATTTTAGAGACAGATAATTAGCCCAGGCAGCAAGAGTAGGGCTCAAGCGCCAGGGCACAAGCATCTGGGTTGTTACAACACTACTTTGGTGTCTGATCTGACTTGATTGTTAGAACACCATTAAGATGCCTGATCTCACAACACACAACTAAATTAAATCCAGGGCATGAGCATGGTATATGTGTAAACATGACTGCACTGGCCTCGACCAAAAGCCTAGAAACAGTTTATCAGAAAAGAACATCTGCCTATCTGTCTAGCGGTCTGGTATATTTGTAGCAAAACTCACTTCTTAAATTCATAATATTTCTAATATCTGCATCTACTTATACTCAACTGAAATTAAAATAACTTTCATGATGAAGCAAAATATACTTTAAAAAACCCCTACTTAAAAAAATCTCTCCTAAAGGTCACTTTATTATTACTACTTTTTTAATCCTCACCTGAGGATTTTTTTTTTTCACTGAATTTTAGAGAGAAAAGAAGGAAGAGGGTAAGGGAGAAAAAAATTGATGTGAGAGAGAGACATTAATGGGGTTGTTTCCCACATGCACCCCGACCGGGGCCAGGATCAAACCTGCAACCCAGGTACGTGCCCTTGATGGGGAACCAAACCCAAGACCCTTCAGTGTGCAAACCCGAGACTCTAACCACTGGCCCATACCGGCCAGGGCCCACTTTGCTATTTATGGCTATAAGTCTCTAATTTATTTTCCACGGGAAAAGGAAATGTGAGGACTCTGGTTAGAGAATGATTTTTATTTGTTCATCATTTGCACCTTGTCCTAGCCCCACACTGGCACAGGTACTTCTTTTCCTAGTAAACTGGGCATGCACTCTAAAAAACAAAAATAAAAATTGACCTTAGTCTAAACAAAAAAACCACTGAAGTTGGGCTTTTTTTCTATTTATGCAAACACACACACCCCCAAAAAAACAACATGAGAAGGGTTCATTCTGAAGACAAACCTCCCAGATTAAAAAGCTGTTAAAAAAATTTAAGGAAAGTAGATAAAATAAAAATGTACAAGGAGCAACCTTGTATTGTTTAGAATATATTTAACTTAAGAAAGTGCAAGCTTCTCCAAGGCAAATAGAAAATATTCTATTGCCTGGCCTTCCTTTGGAAGACAATGTTAAAAGAACACTCAAATCATATTAAACTGAAAACTACGCTACTCCCTCTCCCCCCATATAACAAATATTAAAAGCAACAGGCTAGCAAATGCAAAATTTATTTCAACTGTACATAACAGATGTCTTTTTTTTTATATAAAACAAACACTTCATTGCCATATGCAACCACAAACAATAATGATACTGTACAATACAATGCAACATTCAGGTATACATCCAACTGAGTCTTCAAATGGCAGTCACCCACTAAAAATGGCTTTCCCATTCACAGATAAAAAGCACAATATATAATTTTTTTCCAGATCTTATACCACTATATACACATTACTGTGTTTTGGCAATTTTATGCAAAACACAATATAGCCTATATACTTGTGGCAAGTGTTAATTCAATGGGAACACCATTTAGACCATTTGCAAAGGGCCTGGTAATGGCTTAAACCTACCTTCTAGTTCAGATTCTTCATCCTTTCATTATAATACTAACTGTACACATAGATTTTACAGAACTGTATGAACATAAAATACTATTTCAGCATGACTAAAGTTCCACAGAAGTAGAAACACAGCCCTTTGGACGCCTTATCACCACTGCCACATAAGAACTGTTTTCAGGCCTGTGGCACTAATACTTCTAACCAGGTCACAAGAGCTAATGGTGCCAGACATTCAAAACAAATCCAAACAAACAAAAAGCCAGGTTGTTATTGTGCAGTGATCGTAGCATCAACAAAAATCATCATCAAAATTGCTTTGGTACAAAAACGAATGATGGGAAAGTGTCAAAACTTTGGGTATAGAAAATGAAAATGTCTCATTAAGACAACCCAAATAATACTTAGTGTTAAAGAAAAATCCAAGTGCAGCAACTGTACTTCAATGTTGTGGTATATATAGCACATGACACAGGCAACCCAAGTTTACTAAGGCAAGGCAAAGGCATCGAGGCCAATGCACCAATTTTTATAGTCTCAAAGCAAACAAGATGTTCTATTAGTATCAGAAAAGGTGACTACTCTACGTAATATAAAACAAAATTGCTTCTAAATTCCTTATATGATATTGAGTAAGCATATGAACTTTATAGTTATAGCTTTCCAAAAATTCCACTTGCTATTTGGCTGAACATATATATAAACCCCATCTCTACCATGGGTTAATATTGGGCTCTAATTTTAAAAGACTGCTCCTCAACTTTCTTATTTATACTAATTGATATAAAAATATGAAATCTCCAGATGTCATAAACTTGAAAACAGACAGATACTTGGAATTATCGGTTTTCCCAATGACCTCATTGCATGCAGTACTGAAGCGGTCTGACTTTATAAGCAAAATGCTACTGACAGGAGTTCACTAGCACCTCTGAGCTGTGAGCAACAGGACCCAGCTCCCAGGAAACAATGACATAGTGTATCAGAGTTGTCTCTGTGCAAACGAGATCAGAACACTGAATACATGGGTTTGGCGAAGGAGGTGTGGTGAGGGAAGAGCGAATTCACAGCCACCTGGAATTACAGCCACCCTGAAGGAAGGAAAACATGTTATTCCCAGTTTATTATGGCATCTTGTTTTCTGAAGCTGGTTTCAATGAATAATTAAAACACAACCTTAAGGTTCCATTTTAATACCAAATATAGCATGCATGGGGGAGAACACAGTTCTTCCCCTGTCGCAATGACCAGATGTGGATTTGGATGCTACAACTGAATGCAACATGTCACATTCAGTTCTTTTTGAAGCAGAAATTAGTCTTGAGTGAGGCCAGTGAAATCTCCTTACAACCAATCCCAGGAGAGTGGGGGAGTCTGCCCCAATCTGAGATTTCCTAATAAGTGAGTTACAAAGCAACTCAGTAAGTCTTCAACAGACTCAGATACCCCATTACAATCAAGAATGAGGGTTACATAGGACAGGGTTGCTGTAAATGGAGTTTCACTGAAGCTAGTTGCTGAAAACAATGTGTCCATCACAGGCAGTGTAAGTATGGATGTCAGGATGAAGCCAGGCTGTGACTGAAGCCAAAGCACTCGCCTTATTAAGTGTACCAAATGCCTCTCTCTCTGAAAGCAATGTAATCTACACTTTCAGAGGCTGAATGCTTCAGAGTTTGGACTTTAAACCTTCGGTAGAGTGGTACAGGCTTGCTAAGTGCCATTTAAGAAAAATTACTCCAATTAAGGAAAGTTTCGTGTAATAATGACAGTGTCTGAACTCTGACAATAATTTGGTATTTGGAGAGGAAAACTCCCACCCCACAGACAAATGGGGGTGGGGGGGCACGAAGAAGACCATATGTGGCACACTGACAAGCACAGAGCTATGGGGGTGCAGACAAGCTCTTCTGTGTTGCCAAGGCTCATACCCAACACCAGCACATGGTTCTTCATGGTCACCGAGTGCCCTGAGGAGTCCTCAGAACACACTGTCTGAACTGAACTCACAGTACTTCGGTTGCATGCCTTTTTCTTCTTATCTCGCCACAACTACTTGATCAGTGTGTCCATTAGACATAAAAAATTTAGATCCATATATATAAGGCCAGAGTCTCCTCCGTGTTACTGGCACTTAGATCACAAACCTGTATGGTTTCAGTATAAAATATAAAAGTGTTCATATAGCTGTATCCAAAAAGAAATGAGACAGTTGCTACACTGAGAATAAAAACCCAAACCATTTGGGGCTATAAAACCACTACTACCCACTGAGAAAAGAACCCTTAGTATAGGCTGTGTGAATTCACCATCTCCTTCAACAGTCAGTCAGTAACTTCAAATGGATACTCGAATTGGCAATTAAGCCTCCACAAAGTACAATGGGAAATATCAGAAACGCTCTCAAAAGTTGTTAAAATATCACATAAAAGAGACAAGGAACAGCAAGAAAACATCTAAGAAAAGCAGGCTGCGATACAACAAGCATTTGTTAAGAAAGCTCAGAAGTGCATTAGTTCTGGTGAGAGATATATGAGCAACAGCTCTTACGAGATGTAGAACCCATTCTGTAACTATGGGCTGTCCATATACTGTCATAGTCAGAGTCTTCCGAGAGGTCTGAAGGCTCCAAACGAGAAAGGCTACTGCGACGACCCAAGGAGTCTAGACTTGATTGGTCATCATCAGCCAAGACGTGATTATGCATCAGGTCAGTGCCTTGCCATGCTAAGACGGGGGTGGGATGGAGTGACAGGTGTGACAGGCAAAGGTGGGATGAGAAGGAGGACGGACAGGAAGAGCCACAACCAAAAACATGAAAACAAAAGCAAAAGGTGATGGGAAAAGAAGGAAAAGAGAAAATATTGTTAAAAAATGGCAACAATGTTCATTTCTCCTTATTTATGGCTGGGTTTTTAATGAAGTTAGCACAACCCTTAGAATAAAACCAGATCAATTATTATTTAAATAAACCTAAAGCACGGTATTGTTTCCAAATTGTTCCTTTTTAAAAATATTGCTATTAAGTCCTCATTTAAATTATTCTCAAATTAAGCCCATGTCCACAAATGATTCTAGTCATTTAACAAGTAAGCAATTCTATTCCACATTTTATTAACAAATAATCTCATTTAGGACATTATTTGTAAAAGTAACCATTTATGTGGTTAATTTAAAAACTGCTTCCTATTCGTTAAGTAGATACTTAATACAAAATAGTTTCAAAGGATTTTTGACTTACTTCTTCAGCTATCTCTTTGCCAGACTATAAATCACCAGAAGTCATCTTAATGATGGGGGTCTAAAACTTACCTTTTCAAACTATAACCACTGTAAAAATTTCAGAATGGAGAAAGTAATTAAATAGGGTCCACTTTCCACTCACTGCCCCTTTCCCATCATCCCACATTTCCTCTCCTTAGAGCGCTCAGCCAGTGGATATGAATAAAGTGGGAAGCCATGTTGCTTCAAATGTTATCAACTCTGATGCAGACTCTTTTATTGGCAAGGGCGACGTGAACTGGCAATGCCACTATGTTAAAAGGAAGACTACAGAAGGAAGTGGGAACAAAATGGGAGAACAGAAATAAGCCCATGAGTGGCTGGTATCCATGAGCAATGACACTGGGTAGGCAGCTGTGCACGAGACATGCAGGCTGGAATGCACCAGGGACAAAAGGTGCTGGAAGGACACACTCAGTGCAAACCAAGGGTCTCTTCCATGATGGAGAATGGCACAGACAGCAACCACTGGCCCCATCCTGTTCCTGCTTCTGATCAAAGTTAATTCCATTCCAAATCCAAAACAAACAAGCAATGGACTAGTTTGGATTTCTTCTACTAAATCCCTATAGTCTATGAAGGTCATTATCTCCTTGAGACAGAAATCAATAAATCAATACCAAAGATGTTTGATTTATAAAGTCTTATTGGCATCTAAATGTATAGCAGAATGAGCTGAATTTTAGGTAAGATATATATCCTGTCTTCACTAAACATTTAATATGAAAAGAGCTACTTTCACTCTGATCTCATTTCTAAATGTATTAAGGATCTCACCTTTCCAGCACAAAGGATCAATTTCCCCTATCCAACCTGTTCTTAAGAATGTTCAGTTTAAGGTCATAAATGATTGTATATAGGAAGCCCCAGAGTGGTTAGCTCGTAAAATCAGTTAAAACTAAAAATCAACGCATTGTCCAACGCTTTCTTGCACAGGAGAAACAGAAACACGTAATAAAGGCAACATGATAAAGAAAAGTCCTGAACAAACTATGGGCCATTCCTTTCCGGCAGCCAGAAGAATCAAGGCCACAGGCACATCACAGGGCACTGTCTCTTGGATGAAGAAATGTGACTCACACAAAAACATGCATAAAGCTCTTATGACCTCACATTCATCTGAGACTATCAGGTTAAAATTTAATTTCATATAACTGAAGTTGAGATGAGTAATTCTTTAACATCTCAAATTCAAAACTCAAAAAACAATGGTCACATTTTATAGCCTATTACTTAAAGCACAATCTCTTATCAAATATATGAAACTGTATGTAATATCTTAAATGACAATAACCTATATTTGCAAATTATTGCTTGATTTTATGCACATACACACTCCACATTCAGGCCTTTCCATTTCTCTCCTCTGCTTGTCCCTAGTCATTATAAAGGCATTTTCACCAGTGAATATATAGACAAAAGAGTCTTAAGTCACAGGTGGGACATGTAATGTACTAGACACAAGGAAGCTTCTAGATTATCTGCAGATGCCCCTTGAGTATAATCCAGTTAGCCTTATCTTCATCTTTAACAAAGGCTAAAGCACCTGAAATTCCTTTTCCCACTTTTTCCCCTACCACTAGTTTAAAAACAGACAGAAAAAAACAAAAACAAAAAACAAGACAGGACAATGATACTGCATGTAGTGAAAATGAAGGTGAGAAAAGTGATTTGCCAAATGTCAGGAAGGAAAGGGAACCAAAAATACAAAATATAATAGAAATCAGTTTTTATGCCAGAAGTAATATATAAACCATTCAGTTCTTTTTTTAAAAAAAAGAAGAAAAAGCCCACTTAAGGAATAACAGTACAGAAGGGATACCCTGTGCTGCCTGTGGCCCCCGCACCAGCAAAGGGTAAATGTCGCCCCTTTCTTCTCAACAAACCACGTGCACTACTACTCTACCTGCCCCACCATGCTGCATTCCACTCTCAAAAGCTAGGGAAGCTTAAAATAAAAAAGAACCCCCTTTTTTACTGTTCTCACAATAGATTAAGATTTTCTTCACTTAAGACATTATGCATGTAAGATGCAGGTGAATTCAGTGGTACTGAATTCTAATATATTGACTGGTATCTACTTCTAAACATTTTTAAATGCAATAATTTAAAAAAAAGAAGTGGACTAAAAGAAGCCTTGCTCTAGGTTTATATTTTTAATAACTGTAAAAAACTAATAAATAAATAAATAAATAAAATCCCACTACCAAACCAATAGTTTAAATAGCTTAAATAACTGAACTGAATGAATCTCCCACTGATGTCTAAATACATCTTTTCTAAGCAAAAGAAAGCTTTATAAATTCTGGCAGTACCTTATACTTAAAAGGTTTCCCAGTAGAACCTTCTCTAGAAATCAGTTATTTTACTGACAGCTCAGACCCTTTTCAATGACTTAGGCATACCAGGTTCAAGCTGTTCTTATTCCTGGCTAGACCACAGAAGCATCCCTCACTAAGGAAGATGCAGCAGCGCTCCAAGAAGCATGCACAGGCCCCCACAGCAGTTTCCTCCTGACTTTGATTTTAAACCAAACACACACCACAATTTCCAGTACATTACTGTAAAACTTACTTGAGTTGAGTGTTTGCCTTGTTTTGGCGCTTGTGCAGTAAGCTTCAATGACTTTCAAAATCTGTGCATCTTCTTCCAAAGCAGCTGTGCCTGTCAAGAGATATACAACATGTCACAATCGAACTAAAAATGACAAGTACAACATGTCACAATCTAAAAATAGCTAGTACAACTAAGTAGAGGAATGTGAAGTTATCAACTTAACCAAAATGATGACAACCAAGACAATCTCTTTTATTTTTCTTATCAGATCATTGTTTTCCAATATTTACAAAATAATTACATTCAAAAAAAATTTTAGTTTAAAAATAATTTTTTGACTGCAACATATCTGACAAAGTTAGTATAATTTAAATATATAACAGTTATCTTACTAATCCATAAGAAAAACAGTATCCCACATTCTGAAACTGAAAAAAGGCCAAAAACTAGAAACAAGCAATTCATACAACAAGAATAGTAACAAAAAATACTCAATCCCACTAAAAATTAAAACAAAGCATCAGGTGTTTACAACCCAGACTGATAAAAAATGAAAAAGCCTGACAATTCTCAATGTTGATATGAATAGCAAAAAGAAAAAGTCTTCCCTCTATCCACAGCTGGTAGGAATGAAGACAGGCAAAACCCTCCAGAGTGGTGAGTTGATCATATTTATCAGAGGCTTTAAAAAGAACATTTCCTCTGATCCACGAATTCCTACTAGAGATTTCATCTAAGAAATTTATAAGGCACAATCAAAAGCTTGAAGGTGTCAATCCAGGGCTCTTCTTAAGCTATGGATTATTCCAGACACTGGCTTCACACTGAGATCACAGGCACAGAGAACAGAATCTTCCAGACTAACAGCATCTAATGGTGTTAGTACTGAGCACAGAGCCTCACACTCAGCGTACTTCATATGATCCTATGGTTAAATTGTTTCTCTGGTTTGTTTTCCTAGATTTTTCTACATTTTATATTACTTGAATATATTTTTTAAAAGGCCCACCTACTGTAATAAAAATGTGGAAAGAATGGAAGACAAATATTTATAAGTTGCACAATAAAGCCTCAACGTCATTTTATGATAGTACGATAGATATATACAAAGCAAGCCAAATACTCCCTACTGAAAAATAAACTCCAGTACCAAGAGTTTAAGAGCAATTGAGAAACTGACTTAAATTTCACTATCTAGGACCAACCATTTAACAGGTTTCCCACAATAAGCTCCGTAATAAGCTCCTCTCTTAGGAGTAAAAAAGATAGCCTTGGCCGGTTTGGCTCAGCAGTTAGAGCGTCGGCCCGCGGACCGGAGAGTCCCGGGTTCAGTTCCCGCTAGGGGCGCATACCTTGGTTGCAGTTTGTCCCCAGCCCGGCTGGGATCGTGTGGGTGGCAGCTACTCGATGTGTCTCTCTCACATTGATGTTTCTCGCTCTCTCTCTCTCCCTCCCCCTCTATCTGAAGATAAATGCAACAAAAAAAAAGACAGACAACATTCAACTAGTTTAATTTCAGGAGATGTTGCAAGGTAACTTCCAAGGGCAGGGCATTCCCTCTAGGCCTACAGGAAAATGATCTGTATGGCTAATGTAACTGGATTACTATTTTCAGATGTGGGTAAGTACAGTAGCATCACCCTTTCTGCCAAGAAAGCATTATGACGCCAAAAAGGGCACTGGCTTCCCTGGGAAGGTTGAAGAAAGTAAACTAATGAAAGGAGTGCACATTTCTATGTGGCACAGACTGTTCTACAAACCAGAAACATTTCTATGATTCTGAATGTAACAAAGGTTAAAATAAATTATAAAATTACAATGTGACTTTAAAGGACTCAGGCTTACTAAGTATTTGCTATGCACAGGTACTAGTTACACAGAGGTCCACACAGATAAAGTTTCTCCTCCAACCCACAGAGAAACCCTTGGTTTTCTTATTACTTCCTAGTGCCTCTTCTGCTAGCTCCTTACCTCTCTCATCTCCTAAAACTAGACCCTTTCTTCTCTCTTTTTTTTTTTGATTAACCCTCACCGGAGAATATTTTTCCATTATTTTCTAGATAGAGTGGAAGGGAGGGAAGGAAGAAGTGGGGAGACATCAATGTGAGAGAGACACATCAACTGGTTGCCTCCTGCACGACCCGCACCAGGTCCAGAGATCAAACCTACAACCAAGGTATGTGCTCTTGACTGAGAACCGAACCCGAGACCCTTCAATCTATGGGCTGATGCTCTAACCACTGAGTCAAACCAGCCAGGGCTCTCTTCTTCTCTTTCAATCTCACAGCATGAAAAACCACCTAAGCACAGGGAACAACTATGAAATGCTTGGCCCAGACCTTCTCCTGGGCCTCAGAGTCCTGTTAACTCTCTGCCCTATCACAGTACTTATAGGCGGAAAGCCTCGCTCTCACACACCCTTTGTCCAATCCAAAAGAACAACCCCTGGGCCCGTTTCTCAACCCTGGATGGCACTGCTGACATTTGGGGTCAGATACTGTTAGGTCCTCACTTAATGTCATTAATAGGTTCAGCGACTTTAAGCAAAATGATGGATAATGAAACCAATTTCACCAAGGCTAGTTGATATAAACAAGAGCTAAGTTTCTATGACATCTTATCAATGCGGTAACTTAACGTTATTCAAAGCTGTTGTAATTCTTTGCTGTGAGGTTGTCTTGAGTGCTGTGGGGTGTTTGGCAGCATCCCTGACCATTACTTGCCAGAATGCCAGCAGCACCCTCACCCAGTACTGACACTAAAAATGTCTCCAAGCATTACTAAATGTCCCTGGGCAGAGGGCAAAGTCATCGCCAGTAGAGAACCACTGCTGGAGATCTCATCATCAAAGAAATCTAAAATCTGCCCATGATTCACCTGTATGTTGTGATGACCTTGCCCAGGCCACCATCATGTCATCCTCCTTGAACTACTGCACAGTCTCCTGCCTGGTCTCCCTGTTCTGAGCTCTGCCCCTGTCTGTTCTTAACACAAGGATCAGTGATCCTATTAAAATCCAAGTCCCATCAAGGCCTCTGTTTGTAACTGGACTGTGGCTACAAGTCTGCTCCAAGCACTTTTGGGAATTATCTCTCACTATCTCCCAGTAACCCCCTTCCACCCAAACTCCCAGTGACGGACTCCTTACTGTCCTTTGAATGCACCACAGGGGTTCCTGACTTAGGAGCTGTGGAGCCAGTGTCTGGAAAGCTCTTCCCCAGAGAGCTGCTCGGCTGGCTTCCGCAACCCCTTCAAGTTGCTTATTCAGACATGGCCCCCTCACCCATACCTCACCAACCACGGTTTAAAACTGCTCCATCGCATCTCCTTCCCCTGCACTTCACAACAACACGCTATCTATCATTTGCCTATTTGGTCTCCCATCTGTACCCTTCTATTGAACCAGAGCTCGAGGGGGACAGGGGCTTTCGTTTACTGCTGAGCACCTGGCACACAGAAGCATGAATAAATCTGCCAAGGGAATAGTGCCTCGTGTGCAGCCTGTCCCGAAGCCCAGCAGAGCTTTCACACAGGAGCTCAGCAAATGCCTGCTGATGAAGGATCCACCCAACAGTCCCCAGTCCCCACTGGGAAGTACGGAGCAGGTGTTCGACTCCAGGTCTGACTCTCCTCACTAGGATGCCGGCCTCATCATTCCATTTCATTAGCTGTTCTGGAGAGCAGCACCGCTCTACATTGACAAAATCTGAGGAAAATGACCACCGTGGCAACAAACCCATGGTGCTCAATGCGGTGTGCATCAGGTGTCAGGGGCAGGGAGAGAGTTCATGTTCATAGAGCAGCCTCTGGGCCGTGACTGCATTTACTTCTCCCAGCTGACAGTCACCCCTGCTCTAAGGACAAGGAGATCTCACAGTAACTAGCAGCAGAACTCAAGTGCAGGCTACTGAGCCTCAAGGAACACCCACAGCCACTGCTGCCTCTTCCTCCAAGTGATGTCAGCCATGTGTTCTTACTAAAAACATCTCTCCTGGGAGCCTTCTTTTGGAAATGAATCCCTGAAGGGTCCCAAATGAGTATGGTAAAAATGAGGAGCAATTGCACCATGATTATGGTGACAAATCATGGGGCACATGAGGAACAAGGAGGTACAGAGGTGGGCAGGCTGAGCGAGGACAGGGGGGCAGGGGGGCAGAGCCCTTTCAGATAGTTCCCACAACCTCCCCGAGGCTCCCACCGGGCAGGGCCATCTCCCCATAAAGGTTCTCCTGCAGTGCCAGCCAGTCCCACAGCCATCTGTTCACACAAAACTCTTCCTGTCTATCACACTGGGAAATGGGCTCAGCACTGGGAAGTGGGCAGGCATGTGCTGAAACTCTCCAAATGCTTGCTTCTCAACAGCTGCACTTATTCGCACACTATCCACTAAGCATCTCCTGTGTATGAGGTGCTCCCTGTGAGAGGCTGAGAAATCTAGAGCTGAATTCAATACTGCACCTGGCATCTCACAAGTTTACACTCGAGCAGTGAAGGATGTCCCAGCACAAGGTCTGGGGAAAATGAGCCCTACAGTGATAGACAAGTGTGGGGGTGCAACCTTGACTCATGGAAACCACAGGGCAAAGAGGGACAGAAAGAACAGGTGGTCCCAGGTTACCCTGCACCCTCAGCCTGGGTTCCCAGACAAAGTGACTGACACAGAGGCCTAGGGACAGCCAATGGTTCCATCAAAGGAAAAACTATGTGCGTGCTTCATCATTACTGTCTCTCTCCTGCTTGCCAGTGTCTACACTGAAGTGGTTTGTTGCTATCACCGCTAAAACAATTCCCTTTACAAGTGACACTAAGGCTCAGACCCTGATTTGCATATGAAGTCTTTCAAAAGCCACCTCCCTATTCCATGAACCCTGTGCAGTGCCCGTGTGAGGCAGACTTGTGTCTTCAAGCACAAAGACTCACTTTTCCTCAGTGCAAACTCTTCGTCTGAAGGCTTCCGCTCAGGTTTACGCTTAGGTAGCAGTTTCTTCATGGTCTTGGGACTCTTACTAAGATCCTAAGGAAAGAGAAAAAATGCTGACAATTTCCAAAGGCAGTAATTTTTACTGGTGTATCAGTAAGGGTCACTGTGAAGTTCAAAAATATTAAATCACAACAGTCATTCACTGTTAAGAGCTTCCTATTTTCCTCCTATTTTGATTTTTTGCCAGCTGCTGAGCATTTATTTAAAATCATTTAAAATCAGTAATTGGGCAATGACTCTCATAAAAACCCCCATGTTACTTGGATCTGTCAGCACTGTCATAACACACAGCAAAGGTGTTGCAGGCTTTCAGAGAGAAAAAGGACAACTGGTTAACACATGTACAGAGATCCATGCATGATGTTAATTCTGGAGCAGACCCATCTGCTGATGCTAACCAGAAAGAGATGAGAGAACTAAGGTTATTTTTTAGAGACAGAGAGGGAGAAACATCAATTTGTTGTTTCACCTATTTATGTATTCAATGGCTTTTTGTATGTGCTCTGAAAGGGGATAGAATCTGCAACCTTGGTGTATCAGGACAACACTCTAATCAACTAAGCAACCTGGTCAGGACCTAAGGTATTTTTTAAAGGAAAGGTAAGTAAAGAACGAGTCCTTTAGGAAAATACTTGAAGCCTTGAAAGAGAAGAAAAGTGAGTAGTAAGGGTAAATAAGCCGATCATCCTTGAGCGCAGATGCAGACACAAGACACTGGCTCTCGATAGCATGTTCACCCTAATTCAGAGCTATGTTCACAATGTAATGGTCTATATTTATTACCTCCATAACACTTTTAATTTTTATTTTTTTAAATTTTTTTTTTATCCTCACCCGAGGACATTTTTTTTTTTTTTGATATTTTGTTCAGATAGAGTGGGAGGGAGAGAGAGAGAGAGAGAAACATCGATGTGAAAGGGACACATCGAGTGGTTGCCACCCACACAACCCAACCAGGGCCGGGGACAAACTGCAACCGAGGTACATGCCCTTGGCGGGAACCGAACCCTGGTCTCTCAGGACCGCAGGCCGATGCTCTAACCGCTGAGCCAAACCGGCCAGGGCTCCATAACACTTTTTAAAACTATGCAGAAGATAAAGGTGAAAAACTGAGAGCAGGACAAAGTTCAATGGGGTGAACAAGGTTTCAACTGCCAGGCATGAATTAAGTATCGATATCAAAAAGGGTTAATTTCTGCATCATTTAAATTACAGAAACCATTTGTAAATCTTACAATGAGAAGAAACCAAGACTCAGAAGGTGTTATGTGCTATAGGATGAATCAGACTGAAAGCACCGCGGGAACAAAGCTTGATGTTTAAAGATATCTCTTCAAACTATTTCCTGTAAAAATAAATATTTAAAAAGCTCTTAGAAATGCAGTAGGAATCAGTTCACAAAGAATGAAACACAGTGTGTGTTCTATGGCTGCCCTAATTCAAAGCAGAGATGAGGCCCCTGGCAGTGCAGCAGACAAGGCAACACACGTGCAGAGGGCACAAATCCACACACATCACACCCCGACTCCTGGACCCAGGCAAAGCTGGCTGCTCCATTTTTTGCCATCCTCTGTAAGATTACCTTTCACTAAGTGTTTTGAAGTGCTCAGTAATACTATACAATTAGTGAGTGAAACCTTTTCTCCAATATGGGGTCCAGCAAAGCAACTGTAGCCAGACTTACCAAAACCAGATGGTCATGTTCACTGACACACCTCTTCTCTTGCCTTTCTGTTCCTTTGCTTAACACTGTTACCCCAATTGTCCTCCCCAGTACTGAAATCACCAGTGCTCGCCTGTGCTATCTGTAAACACTAAACTAGGTAATAAAGAACATCAACATTCTTTATCACTGCCTGTGATAAAGAAATTTCTGACTTGGGCATATAACCATCAGCAAGACATATATCAAAAAAACAAAATTCGTTAAGAACAAAAAAATGGCCCTGGCCAGTTTGGCTCAGCGGTAGAGCATCAGCCTGCGGTCCATAGAGACCCGGGTTCGGTTCCCGCTAAGGGCATGTACCTTGGCTGCGGTTTGTCCCTGGCCCTGGTTGGGTTGTGTGGGTGGCGGCCACTTGATGTGTCCCTTTCACATCGATGTTTCTCTCTCATCCTCTCTCTCCTTCCTGCTCTATCTGAATAAAAAATGGAAAAATGTCCTCGGGTGAGGATAAAAAAAAAAAAAAAAAAAGAATATACTTTAAAAAAAAAAAAAAAAAAAAAAGAACAAAAAAATGTAAAGAATTGATAATAATTTATGTATTTTTCTAGGACTGCTAGCAAGGTTAAAGGGAGGGTCTACTCCAGATTCTTTGGCAAATTTGGCCCTTGACTGGATGTGGAGATTCATACCAGGCAATAGTGCTTTACCACACTCACACTCATAATCACAATCGTGATAACTACACTTACAGTAACCATATTTACATGTTCACACAATAAACATATACTTATACCCATATGCATCCTCACACTCATTACTGTATTTATACTCATGCTAATACAGTAACTACCCTCACACAATAACCATCCTCACCCACACTGACACTCATTATAACCACACTGACACTCATAATAACCATACTCTCACTCACGCTCCTACAATAACCACACTCACAGTAACCAAATTCACATTCATAACCGTACTCCCAACTTATACTCAAGCTCATATTCATGATAACCACACTCATTCACACCACTCACACTCATAACCACACTCATCATTTCAATTATCAAGCTTCCTTGAATGCTAATATTTCTCAGAACATAGTTCTCAAGACACTTCCTTTCCTCATCAAAGCAGGTTTAGTGTATAAAACCTAGTATGAAAGTTGAGGAAACCGTTAGCACTTATTTATGGGTGGAAATATTTTAACTGCACATAATACATATAAAAACGTTGGATTAGAACGGAAAAGACAAAGTGCATGTTGACTTCTTACACAAATAGAAGAAATGTCTTAATTTTCTTTTATTGTTTTATTTGTAAATGTAGGGTTCTTGGGCAAGATCTCAAACTTGAAAAAGGATCATAAGGCACAGCAGAATAGTATGCAGAAATAAAGTGAGACCTATCATGACTGGAAGTTGAAAATAATTTCAGCTAGAGGCCCAGAGGAAGCCTTCTAATTCCTCAAGGCAGAACCATGGTGAGTGCAGAAAAGGTCCCCCCATGAAGGGCACAGAGAGTTCCAATGCTACACTAGCCAACACCCCCATGAGGGTCTCCATAGCCCTCCCAGTCCCCTAAACAGCAGGAGAAAATGACAATAAAAGAAAGGCAGACCCTTCACAGTTCAAAGAAGCTGATCTGTATTTTTTATGTCACAAACAGAAATGTGATTTTCCATTATTTCTGAATTTACTGGAACGAAGCACAGAATGACCAATCTGACACATCCAGATGTTAAGTCACGCTCACTTTCGCTCAGACCTCACCTCTTTGTAACAGAGAGCAGCTGAGGGCCGGAGGGGAGGTGCAGGTCGCAGACAGCTCAGACTCCATGGTTTCGGGGTTTTCGGAGGCTCCAGGGGCCCCCAGTTGATAGTTGTGTGTGGAGTGCCGTGGTGGGAGGGGTGGGGCAGCGTGTGGTAGGCAGGCGTCAGTGGCACCGGCTTGCTGTCTGCATGCTTGCTGGATGGGGTGATAGAATGGGAGGGGAGCTACCCAGGGGAAAGAACAAGAAAGAGAATATTCGGCATTAAAGAAACCTGCATCAAATATACTTAGTTTCACTGTTAAAACGCACCCAGTGAAATAACCCCCATGTTATCCTTTTTCTTGCATCTCTGACCCCAAACAGTTGGATTCTGGGATGTCCCCACGGTTCTGCTTTCAGGCTGTGGCAAAACCTGGGTAAGGAGGCAGCAGGATGCTGGGGTCTAAGACCTGGACACTCATTCCATCGCCACTTTTATTTGCCATGGAATAACATTTGCAAAAAGGTATTTCATCTAATACAGATATCAGAATTTTATTAAAAAAAAAAAAAAAAAAAAAAAAGCATTCCTATACTAGGAGTGAGGTTATGGGGGAGGGTACACCTCCCCAGTCAAGTATTACTCAGTGCCTGGTGATTTAGGGGTGAGCAAAGTGAAGACTGGCCTGTTTCTGTTTAATAAAAAGGTGACACAGCCAGGCCCATTTCTGTTGATAGCTGCTTCTGTGTTACAGAAGCAAAGTGCAATTGCAACACAGACCATATTGCCTGTAAATCTGAAAACATTTACTATATTTATTTACAGAAAATATCTGTCCCTCTCTGGAATAAAACAAGTTATTTTCTCAGAAAAGTCAGCTTTACTCAAAACAAAGTTATAAAAATCTAATTTCTCAAAAGATTATTATTATTATTATTATGGATTTGCAGTTTATTTTTATTTTTTTGTTAATCCTCAACAGAGGATATTTTTCTATTACTTTTCAGATAGAGTAGAAGGGAGGGAGGGAGAGAAAGAGAACCACTGACGTGAGAGAGAGACACAGAATGGCTGCCTCCCACACAACCCCATCCAGGGCCGGATCCTGCAGCCCAGGTATGTGCCCTTGACTAGGAATCAAGGGCCAATGCTCTAACCACGGAGCCAAACTGGCCAGGGCTCAGAAGACATTATTAATTGAGGTTTATATTCCTGGAAAACCCATCACATTGACAATTAAATGAGATAATGTTAAATAAATTAAGTAATTCAAAATTAGCCAATAACCTCAAATTAACCCAAAGCAATAAGGCATGCTTAACAGAAGGAGTTGAGTGGTTCTGTGAACTGGAAACCTTAGTGAGGTCAGAAAGCTGAACAATATTTGAAACACATGCTTAAAATAAGAAACCCTGGCTCTAGCTGATGCCACAATATTCAAGGACAGAAAAATAAACTTTCTGCAGAAATCACACAACTGTCCTGGTATGTGCATGAGTGCTTGTAATATGCTGCACAACTACAACAAGATTTTTTCAAACTAAATAAATTCACAAAGGAGAAAATTATGTAAAACATCCCTTCTAGCAATAATGTAGTAGTAATATTTAGTGGTTTTCTCCTTACTTGAAAAAGTGACAAGAGGTATGATTTATGCTAAAATTAGATGATTATTCGAGCTAGATACAGCCAGATCACAGGGAGAATACATAATTCCCCAAAAAGCAGCTCCCAAAAAGAATGCACATTCCAAAAGCCTATATGTGAGGAACAATGCCCTCCACACAGTGGGGACTTACAACTCCCAGCTGACAGGGTGCCTCCCTTGCCACTGAGTGACATGAAAAGGAACATTAGAGGCCAGGGTCCAAATATAGAACAAACTTTACCTGATAAAAAAATTTTATAAAGTTTAGTTTTGGACTATTACAGACAATCTGAATGAAAAGGCACTTTCATTTTTCTTTATAAACACACACATACATATATGTCTTTGGAATAAATTTAGTACTATGAAAGCTAAGCATCTTTAGTATTTTTTAAAGTATGGAGAAGTTATAAATGGCAGAATCATTCAAAATGAAACATCAGCTAAAACAAATGAGTAATTTTAGACTCCAAACTGCTGAGAGATTTCAAGTAAGATGATGACACCATGTTCAGAATGTTATGCTACAGCCATCCTTCCTGAGCTAAAACTAATACTAAAGATAATGAATGCAGAAGTGAATTACATGGTAGGAAATGTCCTAATAAAGATCATAGCACTCTAATAAGGATGTGAGAGAAGCCTACCAACTAGAAATGCTATATAATCATAGGTCATCTGTAAAAAGGTGTGCCTGGTTCTTCAATATTGTTTGCTAAAAATGAAAAATGATTCATTACCTTAAGCAAAAAAAAAAAATGCAATAAAGAGAAGTTTCAAACAATGATACTTTGGTACTGCTCTATTTTGAAATGTTTAAGTACCTAAAAAGCCAACAAGCTGAGCTATTGAGCTTTTCTAAGTAGAAGTGGATTTCTTAAAATCAAAATAATGAGTCAAGCCCGGCCTGCGTAGCTCACTGGTTGAGCGTCGACTCATGCACCGCACATACCCAGGTTGTGGGTCAGATCCCCAGTGGGGAGCATGCAGGAGGGGGCCAATCAATGTTCTGTCTCATGGATGTTTCTCTCTTTCCCTCTCTAAAAAATAAAAATAAAAAAGTAATCAATAAAGAAAAAAAATTTTTTTTAATAAAATAATGAGTCAAAAATTACATTTTAATGCCTTCAATATGATTCTGGTCATAATCATAAGTACTTGTCTTGTTTTGTTTATGAAACATGTTAAATTCAGAAAAGAGCATGCTCTTGATGTTTCAAGTGAAAACCCCCAGTAAATTAGTCTCCAAGGCCCACTCTGAGCACAGAAGCAGATTCCTACCCCAGTGCCACAGAACTGCATGTGACGAAGCACAACTTAAGGCTGTCTTACAAAAGTGATCACTGTGAAGCTATTCACTATTCAGTGGAGATAAGCAAATGTTTGCAGAGAAATACAAGGCAAGTATTGTGCGTTCTTGATCCAGATGTTGATAATTCTTCAAATTACTTGATCACTTGCTGACAACTCAACCAAAAGCTGACCCTGGAGTTAGGAGGCAGGGGAAGTATGAGGTCCTTACGGTATGAGACGGCACAGAATGAGGCTTAATGGGGGGGTTGCTGACAGATGTGACTTTCGTTTGCTTCTGTAGATGGTCCACCCATTCATGAAGGTCCTGCTGGTTGTTGCATGACACTAATATCCGCTCAATCATGCTCCCTAGAGATGAGAAAAACAGGCTGAAATGGGAAAATAAGTAGAAAGTACACACATGCACACACACACACTCAGAGAATAATCCAACAAAATTAATCATCAGCCCTCTGAAATAGTCAAGCAAGAATCTGTATACAAATAGTAAGCTGCCTCTCATCACCGTGACAGATAACATCCACAAAGTTTTTGCCTATCACCTGATATTTCAAATGCATTTCTATGATTTTCACTGTCTTCAAGCTTTGTGATTGTCATTCCTGTCGTTGGTAGCTTTCCCTAAAAAAGACCCCCCCCACAAAAAAAAAACAATTAGTGCTTTTCTAGTAAAAAAAAGGTACTGTTATTAAAGTAAATACTAAATAATTTTAGAAATGACATAGGAACTTCATTTGTAAACCACAAAAGCTGTTTTGTTTGTACCAGATGCAACATATAACAAAAAAATCTCTATCTCAAATAAGTAATCATAATACTATAATCAACAAATTGAGCCAGCATAAAGGTAACAGAGCAACAAACCAGAACACAAATAAATTCCAAATGGTGCGTTACTCTAAACATAAATGTGAGAACACAAAAACATTACACATTATGGTAAAAAAAAAAAAAAAATTAGAATCTTTAATAGCTATTTTCAATTACATGTTTATAAAGAGGAAGCACTTGATTTGCCTCATATAGAAATGCAGAGAAAGTTTCATGTTTAAAGGCAAAATAAGGGGGAAATTGGACAAAGAGGAACTGTACAACAGTTATACTTGGTTGTCCACCAAACAGGAAGTCAGTAGTTGTGCTGGCACTGCACAAAATGCAGAAAACGGCAGTCAACCTGTCTGTTCTGAAAAGAGAGGACTTGGGAATTGAAACGAGAAAAGTCACTGAAGAGACACCGGAAGAGGACTACACGCAGCCTTGAAGGATATTTAGTCCTCTCCAAAATGTCAACTGAGACATTTGGTTCACACCAAAAGGTCCTTGAAATTTGGTCTTGTCAAAATGGTACGCTCATAAGAAAACATCCTTCGGTTCAAACAGCCCATACAATTTATTTTTACTTTTGGTTTACAAAATTAGTACATTATAAGTTATTTTTATTGGTCCAATGACTGTGTTGTGGCTGTATGGCCAATGATAACCGTTACTGATTTGGTAGCCTAGCTGGTAATGGCAAGGGAGTTAGGTAGATGGGCTGGTGTGAACTAAATGTCTCCACGAATACATCCTGGTACCTGGTAACCAATTAAGTCTTTAGGAAAAGTCTCTCAGTATTTGGGGCCAAGCTGCCTGCAAAGAAGGACTCTTACAGCACCTCTGAAAGCAGCAGTTCTCAGCAAGGTAAGAAGGAAGCGCTGCCCCACTAAGGACACTGGCAAAGTCACAGAGATGTGGGTGTTCCTGATGCCTACAGAGAAGGCCAGGGGTGCTGCTGAACATCCTACAGTGCACAGAACTGGAATGATCCAGTGGACCACATCAACAGTGTCTGGGCTGAGAAAGCCTATCCTGACGTTTGGTAGGTGAAATACTAGCCAGTGCTAGGTCCTCCTGTGGTCAGATGAATTCGAAAAACGCTGTAAACTGCATATTCCTTTCCAAAATTCATAACACACAGAAGTGTATTAGTAGCTTTCAGAAGTTCTACAGAAATAAAGCTGTGTGATTACATTTAACTTAGCAAATCAATACCAAGGGATAGACACCGTTCCGGTTGTTGCGAGATTTAACGCTTTTTAATGTCCCTCAAAGCCAGGAATAAATATTCACAATACATAGGTCACAGCATTCAGAGAGCGACACTTCCCAGGAAATTGTGCAGAGTGGGAAAACAGGTCCTACTGGTGGCATGAGGTCTCCCGCGGCACATCAATGTGAACATCCAGAGCAAATGCACCAGCCTGGTCACTAGAGGCCTGACCTGACCCAAAGGGCAACCTCTGCTTCCTCAGGTCAGAGCAGGGCCCCATCTCATCCTCCTGAAGTATAAAACATGAAACCAGAAAGTGCTGACAAAAAAAGGACTCAGCTTTATGTTTATCAGGGTCATTTAACAAAGCAGAAGTTGCCAATTTGAGGGAACCCAAGTAGCTGCTTTATCAGCCATGAACATCTGTTCAACAGAATATTTACAAATTAAGAGACATTATTTTTCTGGGTTTGTCCATATATATTTGCTTTACAAATTTAAAGTGCTCCTTTTGGAATAACTGTGTAATGACAACTCCTCCCTGGATGGCAGACAAAGCTTTCAAGAGAGACAAACAAGCTGTAGACACTTTGACTCAGGATTCACTAGTGTTGAGAACAATATGAAACAACACACTATTCTGAAGAAATGCAACCCAGAGAAAACAAAGTAGTGACTGCTGAAGCAGTACCTGATGACTGGCCAAGCCTTTACATAGTGAAGGGAAAGGCATTAGCTTCTATAGCTCACATAAAAAAGGCAATAAAGCCTTGCCAGAAGCACCTACTAGACATACAAGGAAAATATAATCTACTTATTACTAGCATTTTAAACTACAGTCAGACCTCTGTATCCACAGGTTTCACATCCACAGATTCAACCAACTACAGATCAAAAACAGTATTTTCTATCCATGACTGGGAATCTGAGGATGAGGAGGGCCAACTGTATGAATTGTTCTATGCCATTTTATATGAGACTTGAGAAGCATCTGTGGATTTTGGTATTTGAGAGGGGATCCTGGAACCAGTTCCTTGTACATACTAAAGGATGACTATATTAAAAAAAGAAAAAGAAAAGACCCCACCTTGCATTTTCTTCTTAAATCCTCTCACATCTTCTCAAAGAAAGTCAGTGAAATTATGAAAAATAAAGGTGAAATGATCATTTACTACTACTTAAATCACCTGACATCTGCCAATGTCTCTTACAGTGCTACATCGCTTATGGAACATCTCAGCCTAAAGCACTGTCCCACTCAACCCAGCCCACAGTGGCTCCCACAATGGCACCACAATGACCAGGAAAGAAGTGGCAACTTCGAGACATGATTTCAGGGGTGATGGAACTGGCCTTGCACCTGTGTCCTGAGGAGATTAACTCTACAAATTTCATTTGTTTCCTTCTTTTTTTGCTTAGGATCAATACAAAAATGTTTATACAGTGACATCAAAATACACAGACAGGAGCTGGGTGTACACATCTGAATGTATGACACTATGCACATAAATAGGTACAGGTCGTATTTAATGCAAAAATATTCCTGGAAATGATTCTTAGATCCACAATAAAATATAAATTTAAAATGTGTTTTACCTGATAGATAAAACCACTCATCCTGGGACTGGCAGACAACATTAGCAAAATATTTGGGAAGAGTAGAAGATATCTTTCATTCTTTTCCTAATGTAAAAGAACAAACAAGTCCAAATAATTTTTTAAAAAACATATACTTAGATTTAAGAACAAATATTTAAACTAAGTCTTATGAAACATTCTACTGTATTTCCTGTTTAGGTATTTCTCTCTACCAAATTATATTAGCTAAATTATATAGAAATAAAATTCTTAATCTCACAAGTAGTCCATGTAACATCTTTTTTAAAAATATGGTTAAGCAGTCCAACTCTGCCATCAACTCTCTTTCACTTAAAATTTCTTTTTTGTATTGAGAAAAAACAAAAGAACTTATAAAAATTTAGTGGAGAGAAGGGGAAACAAGCGGACCCCTCATGCTAAAAGATGGGTAGGATAACATTTTTAAATCAATTTTGGTCTATTAATAATTCCTGGCACTTCCCAAAAACTCCCAATATATCAATTTAATGTTGTTTGCATCCATCCATATACTTTACATGAAAGACTTGAAAGCATTATTTATGTATTACAAATACTTCACATCCATAAGGTAGGAAAAGCCAGAGACCACAAGGACAAAAATTCCCAGAACCTAGGAGACACAGATAAAGAACAAAAGATAGTCCTTGTCACAAGCTGCCATTTAACCACTGTCCACAAAAGTGAAATACTAGGAAGCAGTGTTCCCAAGCAGACTCCATAAGACCAGCCATATGCAAAATGCCTTGAAAAGGATTCTATACTCTAAAGAAGTTGATGAAAACTATGTAGTGTATTCCCATCTTAAAGACGCACAATATAAACTATGAATTTTCAGCACAGGCTCTGAGAAGCCCTGTCAAATAGAAATCTTTACAACTAATTATAATCTTTTCAGTCATGATCATAACAACTTTGAATCATTTTTTGAGTAATGTTTTGTAGATCTAATATTACAAAGAAAATACTTTAGAAAATGTTTACATAGATATTTAAATAAAACTTAAAAGTGCATAATTTAAAAACAATCTGGAAAGATTCGGGTTGTTTTTTTTTTTAAATCAATGTAGCCTAACCTCTTAGTAAGTCATGATTTTTTATAATACCTAAATGAGTACCTAGAGGGCTGATATCATTTTTAAATTTCACAGGCAGGAAGGAAAATGCATTGTGTATGTAAGTTTCAGTTTTCTTACTGTCCTAAAAGTTTCATGTTTGAAATGGATCATTAGCATATTTTGATCATGTCGATTATATTTTACAAAGGTAGAATAAAATTCAAAAAGAGATACTAGCTTAGTGAATTAATGAGCATATAACTCATGTGAATACTGAAACACAAACTGCTCAATTTTCACTGTGGGGATATCACAAGAATCTGATTTCATCTCTCACTTAAACCAAACCTGTAAGATAACTGTGATTCCCATAAACAAATGACAATTAATATATAGACAACAGAAAAGTATAATGTTCTATCGAAAACCGATTTCCTAGAATGACAGTGTTGGTAAGAAGCCCATGTCCAGAGAGGCAACATACTACTCTGTGGCTGACATTTGCAAAACTGGACTCCTAACGAGGGATCTAAAATCCTGTCTGGACACAATTTCTTAGTTGACAGTGATACAGATTTTGAACATAACTGCTCTTGGCTGTATCTAAACTGGTTAGGTATTCCACAATCAGCTAAGCCTCTCTAACATACCAGAAACCACATTTATATTTGTCAATGACAAAAGGCAGACAAAAAAATTTTAAGTTAGAAGTCCTATTAAAATGTTATCATTGAATATTCCTTTAAAACTCTGTATTATACAGTCATAAAAACTAACATTCTAAAGTATTTATAATTTTGACTGTCACTGAGGAAACTTAAAAACCATTTATAAAACATAAATCATTTAATGCAAAGTATGTTCAGCTCTTAATTTTTATCCAACGTATTTTAATGGTTTCAGGGAAAAAACTGAAAGACTGGAATAAGAACAAAGTCCAATAGCACATGGCTGGTATCCCCGCATGTGCTTCTTCCACCACTGTTCCCATCTACTCTCTGTACAAAGGGACAGAAACGGGTCATCTCACACACTTGCAGTGCAGTACCTCACTTCCAGTATATTGAATCATGACCTGGGACATGTAGATTACATTGCCCAGGGTCTTAATGTCATCTCCCTCCCAGCTCCGGATGGCTTCTGTTAGGATCTGCAACTCCAGCTCTTTCCTTTTCCGTATGTCTTGACACTGGGCCTAAAAGGCACAGAAAAACACTATTAGAAGAGACAAACTGCCCTAACCAGTCTGGTTGAGTTGTTGGAGCATCCACCCGCTGCAGGGTTCAATCCCTGGCCCCAGTCGGGGTCGTACAGGAGGCAACTAATTCATGTGTCTCTCTCAAATTAATATTTCTCTCTCTCTCTCTTTCTCTCCTTCCCTCCCACCCACTATATCTGGGGAAAAAAAAAAATCAATGGAAAAATGTCCAATATCCTCAGGTGAGGATTTAAAAAATAAAGAGACACACTTCCAGAATCGTAAGTTTTTATATTTTACTTCTTCTTAAGACAGGTAATCTACTGAACAATGTGTTTAATTCACAAGTATGGAATCAAGTAAAGACAGGAAACTCCATTCTGGAATAAGAAACACTATTTTAGAAAAATAGAGATTTTGTCACTTATAGAAGAAAAATTGTAGACTGGAAAATAAAATATTTTGATTTTATTAATATCTGCCAACATAGAAGACTGAGAAGAGGGGAAAAAAGAGTAAGTACCATTTGTGCTATCAGTAAGGTGCATATCGCATTAACACAGTCAGTAAAACAGCATGACAAAAAATACAATGGAACCACCAGTATTCCATTTCACACTCTATCAATAAAGACAATGGAGGTTAAAACATGTTTAAATCATTTTCAAGTAGCTATAGCATCAATTATGTGATGCCTTCTAAAAATTTTAACAATTATCATTTCATTGTTCTAATGTCCAAAGTCTAATAAAGCATGAATATGTATCAGTCATGGGATAACTACTATATGTATGCTCATTTTTTGTTATTGTTAATCCTCACCCAAGGATATTTTTCCATTGGTTTTTTGATAGAATGGAAGGGAGGAAGGCAGAGAGAGAGAGAAACATCGATGTGAGAGAGACACATCAATTGGTTTCCTCCTGCATGACCCCAACCAGGACCAGGAACCGAACCTGCAACCAAGGTACATACCCTTGACCGGGAATCGAACCCACCAACGCTCTAACCCCTGAGAAAAACCAGCCAGGAATATGGACGTTCACGTTTATTTCAACAGAATAAATCTGAATTATACTTCACAGGTAATTTTTTTACCATCTAACTTTTTTAGCTGATAAAGTTTTTCTATATTCATTTGCCATAATACTAGTATTTGCGAAAAACATTCCATAAATACACTTAAGCACTTACTGAAAGGTTTTTGAAGGCAGTCATGGATTTTTGAATATCTTGTCTATCTGGATGATAATCCTTTGAATAAAAGAAACACCATTAGCTTTCACAATAAAAAGTTTTTCTTAAAAAGGCACTCTCTATAGACTAGCTTGAATCTTCCAATACTTTTCAACCTGTAATACATCCTATTTTTCCCAGTATTAAAGTACCACCTCTTATTCTTTAAGGGAATCATGGAGCCAGTGGCCTTAGGGGAAATAATAATTTGGAAGACAGAAGCCAAGAGCTGGAGTCAGAAAAACAACATCTGCTGTGGTGAATGCAGACAGCACACACCACACCCACTCCTGACTTACACATAGCCTCTGCTGCTTTGGCAACAGGCAAGCAGTTGTGAAAAAGACTGATGGCCTGTCCTTTGGAGAAAAGGTTCACCAAACCCTAGCCAATAACTTGAACCCAATGTCTGCAAGACCCATAGCCTGTTATTCAGAAATAAGATAAATATATGTATCTTTAATTACATAATATTTTTAACATTATGTTACTTTACAATTTATGCATTTAATATTTGTCTCTAAATGTTCCTGATAGGACTCCTCAATGCTATCAGCATTTCCTACCTTTTGGAACTATTTCTATCAGCAGCAGTGGGTGAAAGAGATAAAGGAGCTGGGATAAGGAGAAAACACTTCCTATTTAACAAAGTCATTTGAAAAATCCATTAATTAAAAGAGTTTGGTAAACTCTTTTTGTTGGTTCTGGCATCTAAAATAAATAATAATTTCTTTCTGAGGTGGGGGAGGCAAGATAGGAAGAAGGGTGTCTTGGAGAGGGGAGAAACATCTGTAACAAAAAGAAATAAATCTGGTTCATGTAGAAAAAAAATAATTTCTTTGACAGTGGCTAATGAATTCCCAGTGAGACACACATGATAAGCAGTACCTCCATATGTCTCTCGAGCTCCTTGAGCAGAGTGGGGTACTTATCCAGGCGCATGAATGGTTTGCTGAGGCCAGTGGTCAACACGAGAATCCCTGGACTGTTGGCACCTTTCATCTCCATGAACTCTCCCAACTCCTCACTAAGCAACAAGGAGCCAGCAATGAAAGAATAAGATACCGCTGTAAGAGTTCAGCATGATGACACTCCCTTGCCCCAATAGCAATCAATTACCGAGAATATAAAATATAACAAGGTATCATTAATACTGTTAAAACCACAGCTTTTTCTAGCTCAACATATGCGGGTTATTTCAAAACATCAAAGGGAAACTCCAGAACGTTCATGTTATTTCTCTCATTATTAGCAAAAACAATTGTGCATAATATAGAATACACATGGTTTCCTATGCATTCTACTCTTGAAAGGTGATTTCAGCAAGTCAATTTCACATAGAAGCGTTCAAATGTAAGTGTGCATTCTTAAAGCTGGAATAGATTTCAATTATCTGAGCATTTCAAGATGATAAAAAATGTAAGAGGAAAAGGATGCTTTGAAACTACAATAACCTGAATCAGGGCTTTAACAGTGCAGATGCTTATCAGCCCACCAACCCCACCCTGCTAAACGTCAAATGCACCCTAAAGCATTTATGAAACAAGCATTTCCTGACCTTCAGAGTGCACAATGTGGCACAATAAAATAATTAATACTTACTTAGGCTTTAGAATTTCAAACATTTTTACATCACCATTTCATTTAATCCTCACAATATGCAAAGAAGAAAGTTATCCCCATTTAGTGTTGAGGAAACTATATATTCAGAAATGTATAAAACTTAAAAAGAAGTTTTCAGTATTTTACTGCTCCTCTTTCACCATCAACTTCACTATTATTTGTGTACCTTTCTTTTACAAACAACAATGCCCTCCTGAGGCCTCTACTATTGAGCACATACTGTTTGCCCCAAGCGTTCCAATTCAGCAGCCATGGCATTTAGAATGACACCAGGAAGGCTAGGAGTGCAGTGGGAGTCAGCCTCTGTCACTGACACATGTATGACTCATATCAGTAATTGCAACTTTGCATTTCTGTCTCTCCAATGCAGGACAGATGACGTTTAGGGTCCATGCAAGGACCTGGGTCTGTGTCCCTCACTGTGCTGCACACGTCATTCCAGACATGGGGAAATGAGGGACAGACAAGTTAGGAGAAAAGGAGGCACCATCTCAGATCACCCAATACGAAGAAAACAGGGTGAACTCTTCCTGATAAGTAGCATGGAGACTCAGAGTTCATAAAATGAAAAACTTAAAGAATAACTGAACACACAGGTCTTCAGTGTAGGTTACCTGAATCTGACCACAGGGACCCAAATGCTGCCTCACGTACTCCATCCCTCCCCCCACCCAGCTATACCTGACACCTCTGCCCAAGCTTCTTGGGAAGAGCAGCTACACTAAGGGATCCTTACAACATTTAGCATAAATCATTTGAAACTGCTAGTTCAAAAGTGGTGACTGTAACAGTTTCCTACAGTTCAACCTAAAAGGACTTCATGTGGGGAAGTGTGAGAACAATACTGGTGTCAGCACTTCCCACCTCTTTCCCCACCCTTGACTGATCACATTGATTCTGCTCAACCCAACTTTGAAACAGAAGGTTTCAAATATCAGGTTGAAACCAAATTAATGAATCACTAGGAAATCAGCCTTACTTTGCTTAAGCATGCAAGACCTCTTTAGAAGATTATTTCTATCTAAACTCAGGTTTGTGAAAATTCAGGTGGTCTGGTTAAGCAAGCAACATGCACTGCATTTAAAATCAGAGTGTATTCCTGGGCTGTATAAAAAGTAGAATAATAATGTTGTTAAAAGTACCTGCTATCTACCTACCAATCTAACTATACATATATTTTTTAATATCAACTTTTAAAATAAATACACACACATATACACACATGTAGGGGAATATTATCAAAATCAAAGCGAATTAAAGTGAAAACCTAATCCCAGTTATAAAAACTTAATACATATAATAAACATTTTTTCATTTCTATAAGAAATAAGGCTTCATGATTATTTCCTTCCTGTAAGACAGCCATCACGGTGATACAATTTAAAATGCTACTATAGAAGCTGTCAAACTACTTCTAGGGTTGTGTGCACACTTGCTTTCATAATCAACACACAATTCAGTATCTCTGTGTATATACCTTTGTGCTAAGAATGGTTTTCTCAAGAAAATCACAGAGCTGGGATGACTGAAACCAGGAATAGTGGTATTTCAGAACCTTGTCGTAGGTTAGTCTAGTGTTTATCCCAGAGGTCATGTGATTTAAAAGCCATGAGCAGTATCCTGGAGTACCTGTTTACCTAGTTTTATCATCATTTTGCCTTTTCCCTTCCTCAGTATCAACTTCTATGGATAAGTGAAGACTGCTCCAAGACTGACTCTCACCTGCTGCCTACTCTCTCACATCCCCCCCCCCCCCCCCAGGCCTCTGCTGAGCTCAGGCAGAAGAGCTGCAGACAGGCCCTGGCCGGTTTGGCTCAGCGGTTGGAGCGTTGGCCTGCGGTCCAGAGAGACCCGGGTGCGGTTCCCGCTAAGGGCACGTACCTCGGTTGCAGTTTGTCCCCGGCCCTGGTCGGTCGTGCGGGTGGCAGCCACTCAATGTGTTCCTTTTGCATCGATGTTTCTCTCTCTCTCTCTCTCTCTCTCTCTCTCTCCCTCCCTCCCTCCCTCCCTCCCACTCTACCTGAAAAAAAATGGAAAAATGTCCTCGGGTGAGGATTAAAAAAAAAGAGCTGCAGACAGAATGGCCAGAAAAAAGGATGGAGAGAACAGAGCGACACAATGAGACTAGCACTCTGTGCTGGGTATCAGAGCAAATGCTTCTTTCTGTACATGATTCTTGCAAACATCACTCTGGGCCTGTGCCACAAGTATTATTATGGATGTCTACAAATGAGGACGCACAGTGAAGGCCACTGCCTCTGTTCTCATTGCTAGCAAGATGGCTGAACCCAAGTAGGGCCCTAGAGTCTGACTAGACACACTGTCTGGCCTGGCTCTTCTGACCACACCATACTACTTTGTCTTCCACACTCACCATACCCACCCCACACTCCTCATAAATCCTTACTCAGAAATGCTCCTCTTTCAATTACTCACTGTCAACCTGTATCTAAAGCATGAGCAGAGTAAAATGATGGATTTAAGGAGCAATTTATATTTTATATGCATTTCTCTAAGTACTGAACAATTGATCAAGCACAGCTCCATAAAAATTAAAGTTTATGGTACCTCAAGTATATTTCAACTTCATTAAATATAATCCATGCAGAGCCATTTTCTACGAGAAAATCACAGAAAAGTCTATTCATGTCATTTTTAATATTTCATTATATTTTAAATTTTGTAACTATAGTTATAGCAGAGAAAAATTAACAAAACTAAGCAAGTTATCCTTATCACCCCTCCATCCAAAACCCCCTACACTTAAAATGTAAGTGAACTTTTGCAAGCAAAAGTAACTTCTTTTAATATATATATGACATTTTTGTAATGCCAGAACTGTAAAGAAAAGAAACAGAGCTTTATAAATCAGTTTCATTTTTGTAGGTTTTTAAAAATGTTTAGCACAATAAAACAAAACAGTTGGTTACAGCTATTTTGACAAAACAATGGCTCTTTCAGCTTAATTTCTACTGATGTGAGCAATTCTTATATAGCGTATCTCCTCTGTATTTACTGAAATGACACTGTAGGCTGCAAGAAGGCAACGGAAGAACACAAATAAGGAGAACTATGATATAGCCTAGGAAACGTAACAATTAAAGTGCTGGGGGGGGGAACAAACTCATTTTAAAGACTAAATTATGAAACTCATAATTCATTCAAAATAGGCAGTCATGAACATATATCTATTATCATATAATACAAAAGGTGCATATTAGCTATAATTCTAGAATTGGTGATCTGTAAATGCATGCACAAGATTCAGAATTTACACTAAACCCAATAAAATTGCAAATAAGTCTTTAAAACTTCAAAATACCACACTTAAATCAATCCTTAAAAAATATATTCAAGCATAAACATAGATTAATCTACCCATAATTGTGGCAGCTTTAAGACTGCAACAAATGCAGAGAAGTAGGAAAGAGGTTACAAGTTAAGATTCCTGAATGAAAAGTGGTGAACACTAACAGAAGCTACTAGCCAACTGCAATCCTCATCTTCATTCCTGGACTGATGCTTCAGAAGTGAAGTGTGACCTGTGAACAGAGTGGGGACTCTCACTGCTCAGGGACCTCCGGAGGGCACACAGGCAACGCATCACTGCCACGTCCTCTCTTGAGGCTCACACTCTCAGAGCATGACCTCTCCAACCACCTCCCTACTCTGGGACAAGCCACATGGAGGAAGCAGTTTCCCTACTCAGGAACTTATCTGTATTCTTTCCCTGCTATTTTGGGGAAATGCCACACTTACATCTCAGCTATGACACCGTCATTAAAGTAACAGTACAGAAGAGGAGGATAAACAGCACATACTTGCAAGCATTTCCCTTAAAAGTGTTATTTTAGGAAACTTTAACAGACTGAATTTGCTTTAAATGTCATCTTCAGGGTAGATCCTCATTTTAATGGGAAAAATACTTAGTTAGACTCTTTCCCTAAAACTGTTCACACTCCTCCATACTTCCCCCTCAATCCTAGAGAATCAATACCCCCCAAAAAGAGGGAGAGTCAAGATAAAAAAGACTTTAATTTTGCCCTAACATTCTATTTGTTTTCTGTTTATCTCCCCCAACACTGCATCAACAATTCCTTTAAAATTTTTTCAGCAGCACAAATTTAATTCTTGCATCTCACTTCTGTAGAGATTTCATTTAATTTGTAATTTCCAGGAGTAGACAGCAGAAAGCATAACTGAACACGTGTTTCCTGGTTTCACAAAGGTGCATGCTAACATAGCCCTCTCTCCTGGAAAGACAAGGAAGGGCAAAGTATTGGGGGTGGAGGAGTCCTTTAGGTTTTTTGATTGTTGGACACTATATATCCTAATCTCCCTTCTCTTCATTAGCATGTCAAAGATTGCTGCTTCATTTTAAGACATCACATTCACTCACTTCTGATCAGTTTATATATGTTTTGCAAACTTAATGCATACAATGACCCTATGAAATAGGCACTTTTATAGAAGTGAGGTGACCTTGGCCCACCAGCTTAAAGGCTGTAGTCAGGACTCAAACCAGGTCTGACTGATCCAGAAGCCCTGCCACCACTTCCATACTCACAGGGACACTCCACTTGACCTCAACTCAATCCCTAAACAGCTCAGCAATGCTTGCATACCAAAAGAGTTTCTACGTTTTAAGTTGAAATATTTAGTTAGAGTAAGATAGTTAAATATTAGACCTAGAAGCATAGTGGCACTTTTTTGATGTTACTAAAATGGTTTTTCCATTTATGGTTTAAAATATTTTTGAATTGTTTTCGAAAGAAACCATAAACATTTTTCTAAAATACTCATTAATAAAATTTGTGCCACCTGTGCTCTCTAACATCTGTTAACTGTAATGTTCCTCAGTCTTCTTACAATTCTCAGGAAACAGACACAGCCTTGTCTTAATAAATTAGCAGAAAATCTGTACATTCTGTTTCACGTTTTAATTTTGTTTCAGGTTGAGAAGCTAAAGCTAATGGTCTCTAATTTAATGTTCAATATATCTATAAAACCCAGCCCTAATGTTAAATGTGACATTTTCTTTTCCAACAAATCGAATTCAGTCTCCCGTACTTCCGGTTTATGACCTGAGAGAAATGCGATTCCAGTACTCTGGATTAGCTTGCAGCAACATTCCAGAATACTCACCAGCTCCTTCAACTCATTGTCCAAAGGTCTCTCAACTGAAGGGGTGACTTCAAAAACATCCTGTTCTATTACAAAAATGCTAATATGCATTTTTCAAAGACTTCTTACCAGTACATTTCAGGCACTAATTTTAAGGGGTAATTAAAAAGTTCATTGTTGAATAATCAAGTGAGTATTAGCATTGTTTTTGGAGGGTACCTCAAGAATCCCTTTCCTTTCAGGTAAGATGTCTAATTGAACCCACCTGTGCTCTGTGAGAACATTCACTGCAGATGGGTGATTGGCACAATATGAAAGGTACAAGGTTTTCATTTGTGGCATCAGATTTAAAAAGCAGCCTCCAACTCTCTGCTGAGCTTCAGGCAACCTGGAAACATGCAACACAGAGGAAATAATCCTAAATTTTACAGATAGAAGGAAAATTGCTAAATAACAAACAATATTTTGAGAAAGAAAGACCTCTTTGTGTACCACCTCTATAAAAATAAAATATACAAATCCCAGAACACATCTGTTCATGGCACATATACAGCAAGAAGTAGTACCTACCTTGAAAGCTGCTCTGCTACAAAGTGAACTAACCCCCAACCTTTCCTCCAGCATCCAGATGCCAGGACCTGTGCACAGCAGAGCTACATACAAACCCATAAGTTCAAGCTTCTTTGGGCCGTGAGGAAAATAGACGTCAGGAAACATTATATTTTACATAAAACAAGCATTATAAAATGTGGCTATTTGGTTAGTAAAGTTTTCCACCAAAGTAGCACCAAGAAAGGCACACACAAAAAATACAAAAGCCATCTTTCCCTTCAGGTGAAGATGGGACATTGAGCACATCTATCAACCCTTCTCCTTTCCTAATCCACACTATCATGATGGTTGCCTTGATTCTTTAGAAGGCATAAATTCACAAGAAAAAAAAAAGAACAGAAAAATAAATGACCAGAACCAACTTTGGAAGCTGAAAAGCAGATGATGAGTAGTCATAACTGGGCCAGCATATCCAACTCTAAGACCACACCTGCGCCCCCAGGAATCAGGCCACTGCCCTTTGGTAGCAGGGCCACAAACATAGATGGGTAAAGGTCTGCGAGGCAGCAAGACACTCATCTCTATGGACCAGAAGGTCACTGATTGAGCATACCAGCAGTGACTCAGAGCAGGGGGTCCTTAGAAAACAGGGAACATGAAAGGACCAACCCTCCATCACCCCAAGTCTCCTTTACCCACCAGCACCCCAGAGCAGACAGGAAGGATTACAACCTTCAAAGCAGGACACCAAAAGAGCCCTCTCTTCTTCTGAGGGAATCTGATTCAGAGAAAAAGTGACCAAAAAGTAGTTAACACCTTTAGTGTACCAACATTAATTATAAGAAGACAGAAATATTAACAAACATTTTTGAAAAATAAAAATCTGACAAGAATGACTACAGACAAATCGTGGGGGACTGTGAAGAAAAAAAACACAAAAACATGATAGTTACACTTCAAGGAGCAGAAAAATATTCAAAAATTTAATTACTCCTGGGAGAAATAAAACAAGATCTACGAAAAAAGAAAAGGATGCTTTTGTGGATAGGAAAAAAGGGGTTCTTTGGAACGTTATCTCACAGGGTGAGCTGATCATAAATTCCTAACTGGGCAGGTCATGGTGGGTAGTTACGCTCCATCATATATATCTTTTCAGTAAAAGTTCTGTCTTTTCTTAACTATCCTGTAATCCAATCCCCATTTGGCTGTCTCCCATCCCCATGTAGTCTTCCTTAGTTGCCTCTTTAATCTCAAATGCACAAAAATAAATCATAAACTGTTATCCCCAAAAGCATTTATCTCAGTCTGTTAGTAAGATATTATTGCTTCCAGGTGTATCCTCAGTTTGGATCAAATAAATTTTTACAAAAATTTTAGGTCTGGGCAATCTTACATTGACATCTTAAAAATAAGAACATTTAGGATAAAAATAAAGGAGCATTTGAAAATTAAAATGAAAGCAATTGAAAAAGTCAATAGGAAATCCAAAAATTGAAGTTCTGCAATCTCCCAGATTAATGGGAGAGAGAAAATTAGAAGACCAGGACAAGTAGTTCCACATCAGGATAAAATTTCCATATACAGGAAACAAACAAAATAAACAGAAGTAAATCGAAGAAATGATCATAAAATTCAGCAGACTAAAAGACATGAATCTCCAGAAGGGAAGAATCCAAAGCATCAGCATCAAAGTTCAAAGTTCTAGAAACAAACACACTAAACACTTTGAGGGGGAAACACAAATATCAAATAATCAGGAATTAGAATGGTCTGGGACTTCTCAACAACACTGAACCTTACAATAGTGAATGGAAATAACTTCCAACAATTCTATCTCCACCCATCATAATTAGTATAAATATGGATTAACTGCCTTCCATGCATTCTTTCCTCAGGACGTTCCTAGGAAATGGGGGACTACAGGAACAAGAGAGGAAGACACCAGCATCCAACTCACAGCAGGTGAAATGCAGCAGGGTGACAGTCAAGGGGGACCCGAGACCATGCAGCAGGGCTAGAGAGAAAACCAGAAGGCTCCAGAGTGACTTCTAGAATATAACAGTAATAAGAATAAGTACCGTGTGTGTGTGTGTGTGTGTGTGTGTGTGTGTGTGTGTGTGAATACACTGAAAGAAATGGACATAAGTCAGGAATAAATTAGTGGTAAACAAAAACAAGCAAACAAAAAATGAAGGCAATGGTCACCATTACTATCATGGGAAAAAGAGCTGGAAAGGCACCGTAATTCTGGCACAGAACATGGCTCAGCTGTCAACAGTATTTATATAATGCAGTAACCATCTAGCCCTGAACAGGCTTATCTGGGTTTTTACTTTTTAGTTCATTTATCCTTATCTGAAGTCAAAGTAAACTAGCATCTGCACTGCTAGCAGACTCTTTTCCAAGTGTGAACTCCTAAGTGGGGTTTTTAATAGCCTTCAGGAATTAGCAACAGTTCTATCTGCAAGATAAATAGTCACTGACCTAACAAATAAATTTCAACTACTTATTCAGACATTGGGAATAGATTAGAAAGAGTAAGAAATCTTCTCTACCTTAAAAGTGACTGCAATCTTTTTGGGTAATATGAAACAAGAACAAAAATGAAGGGAACATAAGATAATTGATGATGCCTCAATTTTATTAGATACAAACTGCAGCAAGTCCACAGAGGAGGAAAGCACACACCCTCCAGGAGAAGGCACAAAGGCCAGCATCCTTCCTAAGTCACCCAAAGACAAGTCATCATAATGCTGAGTTCTGTGCCATATACTATTTTATGATTTCACTTCCCATCTGGCCCAAAACCACAGTCCCTCATACAAAAGAGAATGTACCTAAATTCTAGATCAATGGATTGTCATTTCTTATATTTCATCAATTAATTAAAATTAAGTTATATTTTAGTATGGCTTATACTTGAACAATTACTTCATTATACAAGGTTTTGTTTCTTTCTTTGGCTTCAATGAGCTTGGCCCTGGAGTTGTATTACCTCTCTCAACACAATTCCACAAGAATTCACTATACCCGCCACCATCATATGAACAACTTTACAATTTATAAAGCTATCATAATCCAGATTCCTGAGATGGTACCAGCAGACAGAGCTCAGAAAGGTTACAAGAGTCATCCTAAGACTTGAGCCTAGGTCATGTGCCAATAAGTCTCACACATAACACCATCTAGGATCCCTAAGTTAACAGAAGCAAGCAAGCAAAACTTACAAAGATCATCAATGCAGAATCCGATAAGAATTAATATTGAGGATTTTTACTTTGGTTCTCTCTTGTGCTTCTAGAGGTTGTTTTTCAGAGTATGACATTATGTAGGCAGGGCATGCAACGTGGTTTTGAGGCCAGGTGCAAAGGAACAAATGGTGCACAGGGCTGTTAATGTCAGCCACTTCCACCTGCAGCCTCCTGGTAGTGCTAATGCCAAGATCTAATAATGGGAGTGGTGTTATTTATCGATGATCTGGTAACAACTATGTTGACACTAACAATCCAATCTCTAGTCTTTGTAATAAGAGTAACAACAAAAGGTTTAAGGGGATACCCAAGGGGCCTTTTTCCTTTCCCAAAGTGAAAACGAATGAATCCCCGGAAAAACTTTTGAGAAATCAGAAAACCGCTAAACAATTTTCTCCTATAACACATTCATTCTTGTTGGTATTGCTAACGAGATAAAATGTTCATAATTCCCTAACTACAGATTTCAGAGAAGAGACTAAGATCAACATGAAGATATCACTGTGAGCTGGGTGAACCTCAGTACACTATTGTTCTCAATGACACCCACAGAGTCTGTCCAAGACTGACAGGCAACTTCAAAAAGAAGAGACTAAGTAAGTAACCTCAGGTTCCCACTCAGGAGGGGCCTCAGGGGCCTTGGGGAGCACAACCAGACAGAAACCATGGTTATAGCTTCAGATAGTCCACAGCGAGTCCCCTCAAAGCCCTAGACATGGACAGTTCTTTCAAGAATCCAGAGCCCAGGAAGGCAGCAACATGAGGCACTTCCCATAGCCCTCTTCTCATCAGCAATCAGCCTCTCAAGCTCCCTCCCTGGGTCATCTGCTTATGTTCCCTGCACATCCACTGGTTTGCCATCACTTTCTAAATTCCTAGACTCCCAACATTCTAGCACTGGAAGTGTGCTTTGAAATAATTTTCTATAGGATCATGCAGTCTAAACAAGTAAGAAAATTATGGGAAGAGCAGTCTCTGATGCCACATCCAATGCGCAGGCTCTGCAGACACTGCTTCCTCCAGTGACACATAGGAGGTGAACCCCACGACCTGAATCACATGGGTCAGTGCCTGCTTCTACAAATGTGCACAATTAACCCCAAATCATCTAAAGTCCTATGCTTCTTAATAAGGTCAGTCAGCCCAGGCAGAATCAGAAGTGTGCTCTGGGTCTAAGCAAGTCTGCTCTCCAAAGTTAAATACTGTCTCTACATCACCCTAGCTTATTATTTGTACAGTTTAAAAAGATAGCTTTCAAAAAAAATAATAATAAACTGCATCCTTTAATTTAAATCTGTATTTTGATGATAATCTAGAACAGATATTATTTCATTGCAAAAATGTTAACTATAATGGTCCAAACAGTATTTGCAAAAATAAATGTATTTATATCTTAAGGTAAGCTTTATAATCAACTTTTGAACAAAATCAAGTGTTTATTTAACCAATAACAATTACATTAAATACTTATATATGATATAAAATATTTTCTTCAATAAGCTTAATTTCTGTCAAACATTAAGAGAACTCAGTCTAGCCCTGGCCGGTTTGGCTCAGCGGTTAGAGCGTCGGCCTGCGGTCCTGA